AAAACAGCTGTACAACGGCTATTACAAAATAAAGTGTTTAGACAATCCCAATCGATCTGTTGTTTCACTTGCATTGTTAAATTATAAGATTCTCTTATAAGCACCTGAGAGGAAGGAAAGCATAATAAGGTTTCAGAAAAATTATTGTCTTCATGACCTGTATTTCAATTTTTTGTCCTCTGTAAAGAAAGTGTAGAAGAATTATCTTGTGCAATACTTTCCTGTGACTTATTATTTTGAAAAACAATTGTGAAGTTAAGCATTAAACTGTTTAGTTTGCAACTAATAGACCAAGGCTTGACGTTTCTCAAAACTGCAATAAGCTGTGAATGCTTACGGAATTTCCAAAACTTAGTAAAACTGTAAAGCCTATGGAGATCTAGAAAATCAACTACCTTAAAAATTACATCAAGTTCAGAAAATAATAGGACCACGAAAATACAAACAGAATTAGATGCACAATATTAAGTAATGAAAAATGGCAACACAGCAATATACAGAAAATGCTTGATTATTCCTAACCCTTTGCTTGACCCAGCTATGTCGTTTTCCCGCAGTGCGGGGACAAAGTAACACTTGCACTGAAGAGTGCTTGAAAAATCGCCGAATTTCTTCATCATGGGTTTGCATGATTCCATCCTGCAACAAAAAAATTGTTATGTTCAATTGGAAAATACATACAACAAAGGTTTCCAGTTAGAATTTAAAAGGGAAAATAATGTGTAAAACAATTCAACAAAAGGATTATATCACTGACTCTATCAACAACGTCAGTTGCCCTAATCTAAACCAATGTATCATGATAGCCAAATTCTGGCATTCATTTATCTTGTGATTCAATAGTCAATTGCAATTACGCTTTTTGTGATGTGACGTAAACTAAGTAAATGGACTTGCATCCAAGAATTTCACAAGATGAGTTATATATTACAAAGATAAAGAAAACAAAATGACTGAACTTTTAGAACCACAATCCCTTGATAGAATACCATTCCAAAATATGAAAAGTCGAAGAATACTTACCGTTTTGTAACCCAAAATGCTTCTTGAAGTAGGGTCATCCCAAACAAGTAACAGCACTCTCACTCCTTCCTGGGACTTGGACCTCAGAAGATCCCCTATGGTGCAATTTGATGCACCACTAACATCCCGAACTAATCTAACATTGTGCCAAACTGACCACCCAGCAATGTAAATTAAACGCCGGGCCTGACGTATTGCATCGAAAATGTCATGCCAACACCTCCCATGCACATATGGCATCCCCCCATCTAATATCAAGTTCGGAAGGCACCCATCTGGGACATGGGCATCTTGATAAAGAGTTACTTTTCCACCTGTCCTAAGAGGAAAATATGTGCCAGGAACCCCAAAATAATCAGGGCCTGCCCCCACTCCATTATGGTAAACGCTCAAATTCTCAATTGGAATGTACTGAATTGAAAGTCTTAGGACAGCTCCAGCTTTACATTGCTTCCCACTAGTATTCAAGATCGGATAAACTCCCTCAACTCTTGCTCCCGTGTAAATCTGTTCGACTGGAATTGCCACAACTCCAATAAGCTGAGACCCCACAAGATCACTATCTTTAACAACAAAGTGCACTTCAGGAGCATGATGTGCTACTGGAACATTGAAATGTTGTGTCCAAACAGGAAATTCAGAATTGCTAATCACATATGTCCTCCCAATTACAGCATTTGAAACTGAAATTGACACGTATGGATCACTAGTAATCTTACGGCTTGACTGCCCATCAGTTTTGCTGCTTCCACTCCCTGGTAACCTCAAAAACATATCTCCCAAAGTCTTGTGGAACATGTCCATATTCGGAAGGTTTCTCGCTTCATATACCCAAATGTCCAAATTCCCATGTAAAAGCAAGACCTTCAAGGAACCTTTATTCTGCAACGGAATAATCTGCAAACTCTGGCTATGTTGTGACCCATTAAACGAACTTGAATGGGTATAAGCAGAATGACTCGGTGATTCAATCTGACCGGAATAAGACATCTCCCAACTACTGGAAAATGAGCTATTAGGATACGCATACAACTCCCCCGGAGTATCATACCTTGCACTACTGGGAGTCGAAGTTGCCAATTCTTGCACTAAAGGTGATGGGGGTGCAGAGGGATCCAAAGATTGATTGTCAGACAAATGCACATTACTCAAAAGCTGATCCAAGGGCGGGTAAGCAGAAGAGTGAGGAGGCACGAGTTCTGCACCATTATCATGAACTGAAGCCCCCCCAATTCCTACTGGACAGCTATCATGCCGTTGATGATTCGAGAACCTACTGGGACGCAGAGGGGCTTGATGCGGGCTTTCAGGCGGCGGGTAAGCCTCAGACTGTTGGTAGTGGTAATGGGAAGCACCATACTTGAAACTGCTATGCTGCTGAATGGATGGCAGAGGACCACTATGGGTAATTGGACGAGCCGGGGGGTATGGATACGGATAGGGAGGCTGGTTATAGTCTAAAGGCCCTGAATTGGGGGAGGATGAAGAAGGTGATGGAGGATATGCATAAGGGTAAGGATATGAAGGATTGTACGGTGGGTATGGATATGGAGCAGGTTGATATTGATCTGGAGGTGGAGGAGGGTATTGAGAAGGAGGCTGGTGAGGGTAAGGGTAAGAATTCTGGTATGGGTATGGGTATGGGTATTGTGAAGAACCATTATTATCCATTGCACAATTCAGTTTCTTAGCTTCTTATTGGCAGAAAATGAACAAAAACTTGTTATCAAATATCAAAAAGGCATGAACTTGATATCTAATGGGTTTTCAAAGGAAATTTCTATAATACATATATTCTGCTTTGAACTTGAAATCTAAGGGTTAATAGTATGAAGGGTTTACGATTGGGACTTAAAAAAATGAATCTTTTACAGAAGGTGAACAGGATACACCAAGAGATCAAAAGGGTTTTTGATTCCTAGTGAGAGAATATATATTATGTGCAACAAGAGAAGAAGCTCAATAGAATTATATATTTTATATAACAATTAAAAGATCCCCAAAAGTAGAGAGCTTTAGCATTCCAGAAAGAGAAAACCCAGATAGAGGTTTACCTTATTGGGGTTGATATGCTGGAAGATTGAAAGAATGTATTGGAACCTTCAAAGAAATGCAGACCAAGAAAATAAGCTGGACTTTTAGATCAACATCTTTATGATTACTTCTTCGTGTTTGACAACGTACGCAGTGCCCAAACTTCCAGTTTCAGCCCGTTGCCGTCCACGTGGAGCATTCTGACTGGATGAAGACTGGGACCCACGGCCACCTCAGCATCATGCTATGCCTATTTAATTTTTTCCTCAAACTTTCATTTTTATTTATTTATTTTTCGGATGAAACATAGATAAGACAAAACAGTAGAAATGGCCAACAAATGGACGTTTCTTGTTGACGTGTGTCTTAAGAACTTCGAGAAGTACGAAATTAAATGAAAATTTTAAATAACGCGTTACTTACTTTCCCTAAGGAAAGGGAAAGAAGTGCTTTAAAAAGCAAAAATAATAAGACGTGAAAATATTTAAATTTGGACACAATCTAAGGGATTGTGTATTTAATGAGTTATATTTGACAGAAATGTTGGAACCAATTGAAGAGAATCTCCTCCCGCTTTGGGATTCACATTGAATGCAAGTACAATCTAATTTAATTATCGAATAATTATAGTACAGTAATGTTATATATTATAATTCGTCCACGTATTATAATAGAAGTGAATAATAGTTGATATTGTACTCTAAAAGTAGGTAATTTGCGTTCCATACTATGTTCCAAAGTCAGTCTAGGCCATAGTTTGATTGATACACAAAATTGGAGAGTGCTTCTTAATTAATCAATTGAAAGTTTAGATGGTGATATTGATTTTGAAATTTCATTGTTTTGTGTGTTTTTTATTTATTTTATAAACAAGGGTTGGCAATTTAAGATGTGAAGAAATACTTTTGCAACATGCCCAATTGGAGTCATTTTGGCAACAGAAAGATCTTTAGAGTGATCTACTCTTCTTATGCTATGAGACTATGCATGTGATGCGCATGGGGCATCATATATGCTTTCACCTAACTTCCTTGCTTCATTTTCTTTTATTTCAGAATGTGTTTTTCTTTTCAAAATCAAGCATATGATCGGCCTCTGCAGAGACACGTAATTGGACAAACAGAGGAGCAGATAAGGTTTTGTTGTGGAAAATGCTGCTAGGTGGGGTTGGGGGGGTTTTTGTCAACTAAGTTTAGGTCGCACATGAGTTTCAAAGTATGAAATTTAAGACTTTGCATTTGACTAAAATTCATTTGTGATAGACATGATTAAAATAGTATGGATAATCAAGATAAATCTGTCTGTAAATTAGAAAAGCAAATCTTGTGTATTATAAGTAATCTTATGTAAAAGCGTCTTGTAAGAGTAATATAAACTTGCCTTACAATGTAAGATTTTTTTGTGTGTATTCAATCCTATAGGGAAAGTTGCAAATGTGGGTTAGGCCAGTTAATAGGCAGTGTGTTCGTCCCCTTACACTCGAGTTTTGTGTAACTTTTAAGGAAAGCCCGGTTAGTGGCTGGTCTCATTCTCATTGTTCTTTCAAGTCCAATGATCAATTGCCACAACAACGTAATCACAAAGAGGTAAGGGAGACTATTAAGAGTAATGCTACATGTATCACATTCACAAATCATGTCGTAGGTGGGTCTCATAGTTATTATGTTGAAAATGTGACAAGGAATGCGATAACAAATATAGTTTAATACGTTTTATGGTTTAACAAAACAAATATTTAATGATAAACTTGCATGAACCTGATGCCATGTAAAACTGGTGCAGCAATGGCCCGGGGTGGCTTCTTCTAACACCCAAATAGATTTGAAAATTCTTATTGATAATTTTTGGTTAATCACATAAATTAGTAATTTTTCCCATAGACTTTTCTCCATCATATTTTATGGCAGGTGAAATTACATGCTTTCTCTAGCATAATATCCAGCTTAACTGGCAATCCCTGGTAATAATTTATGGCAGTTAAAATTACATACTTCTGTGCCCTCCATCATTTAGTCCTAAACTTGAGGTTGATGGTGATTTAGCCCCAAAACTTATTATAGCTTTGACCAAAAATAAAAAACTTATTACAGCCAAGTTACTGCTATGGGACTTCCAACTCTATATTTCCCTGACACCCAAGTTAGGGTTCCGAAGGATGAATTGGTCAAAGCTGGTCCTCCCAATGCAACAAAACTGACTTTGTAGCTCAGTTTTTCACCCATCTTCTTAAACCCCAAGCTCCTAGGCTCAACAGTTACTGATACTCCAGTAGGTTCTTTCACCTGCACTGCATAAGTACTAGGAATTTTACCAACATTTTTCACTGTCCTCTTGTACGTAACACTCATATTCCTTGCATCTTTGCTGAAAAGCACAGAGAATGAAGGGTAATTCAAGTCACCAGGCTGAAGAACTGCATTTTTTGGACAAGTAAAATTAACCCCACTGGAGAAAAGAGCTATTTGGGAAGAGTTATAACTCAAGCTACACAAATAAAACAGGTAGTCTTCAGCGGTAATGTCGTAAACTAGTCCTGGATCAGCAGCATTTTCTGGGTCAACATGCCCTGAACCAAAGGCAAAAGGGGTAGCTGATTTTGAAGTACTAGTTGAGCCAATATCAGCAATTGGGGCCCCTTTGTTGTTTAGTGTGTAAGCTGTGGTCATTAGTGCAGATTTGATTGCTGCAGGTGACCAATCTCTATGCACTGACTTGAGAAGAGAGGCTAAGCCACTCACATGGGGGCAAGACATTGAAGTGCCTGAGATTATGTTAAACAGAACACTTCTGTTATCACTTTCAAGCATGCTTGGGCTGATATTGGGTGGCCAAGCAGCCAAAATGTCCACACCTGGTGCAGTCACATCAGGCTTGATCACGTCCGGTCCAGCAGAATTTGGCCCTCTAGATGAAAGGGCTGCCATCACAGGCGCAGTGTTGCCGTAGACTGTGCCTTGGAACACAATCAAAGCTGAGGGTTTCTTTGCTGAGCCTACGTATTTTCGGATGGCTTTAGCAGCAGAAGCTCCAAGAGAAGTGGCCGGCAGAATATGAGCGTCAGCAAGAAGTTCTTCACCTTCATCTTCACTGTTCAGTAGAAGCATTCCAGCTCCCCCAGCCTTCTTCACTTTATCTCCAACTTCAGTTCGCGAATATATTCCTTCCTCACAAACCACAATCTTTCCTTTTACAAGCTTCTTGACCAGTGAACCTTCAAAGCAATACTCAGCTCCTTGGCTACCTGCAGTTCTGTTATACACAAGTGGCAATCGTTTAGTTTTCTTACCAGAATATAGAGATGAACCTTCAAAAATTTGTCCATCCCCAAGTTTCACTGCTGTTGGAAAGCTTCTGTCACTATAGCTAGCTGCAACAGTCATAATCCAAGGTGCGGCATTACTAACACTTGACCTAGAAGGGCCTGAGTTACCGGCTGAGCACGACACAGAAACTCCATGTTGGATTGCCCCAAATGAAGCTATAGCAATATTGTCTTTGTAATAAGGCTTAGAAACACCTCCCAATGAGAGTGACAAAATGTCTACCCCATCTGCAACAGCACTGTCAATAGCAGCCATTACATCAGAGTTAGCGCATCCCGATGTCCAGCAGGCCTTATAGGCTGCAATTCTTGCAGTATACTTCATTCCACTGGCTGAGCCCTTGGCCAAGCCAAATAAGCTGGCTTGATTCACAAAGTTACCAGCTGCAGTGGAAGCAGTATGAGTTCCATGCCCATTCGAGTCACGAGGGGATCGATAATCCACTGTTTCATTGACTCTGCCAACAATGGCCTCATACCCTTGGACAAAAGCTCTTGCACCAATAAGCTTTTTGTTGCAATTTGAAAATGAGAACTTTGTGCCTTCTTCACAAGTGCCTTTCCAGCGAGAGGGTACCGGGGACATACCTGAGTCCTGGAAGCTTACATGTTCTGGCCAGATTCCTGTGTCAACAAGGCCAACAATTACATCCGAGGCTGAGTTGGAAGCGCTCCAAAGTCCCTTGCCATTTTGTAAGCCAAGGAACTGTGGAGTATGTGTGGTATGGAGACTTAGCAGCTCATCAGGTATGGCAAAGAGGAAACCATCAACTTGGTTCAAGGATTTGAGTTGATTGGTTGACAGCTTTGCTGCAAAACCTGATATAGCAGTTTCATATATGTAAAGGAGCTGAGGAGTTGGTGTCTTGTTTTCTTTTTCTTCTTCTTGAGATGAGAGTTTGGTGATGGAATCAATCACTGCTTGGTAGTATTGTTGATGATCTGAGTCTGTCATTTTGGTCTTGTCCATGTGAATTATGTATGTCTGTTCTTCCATTAAAGCAATTTTAGTTGTAGCCATGATAACCAAGAAGAACAAGAATGTTCTAATGATGATCATGGTAGCTGTCAAAGACAAAAGGGATAAGTCAACAAATAATAAGGAAGTAAAGCAAGGAACAACACTTAAAACATGTCAACTAATGAGTCACCATTAATAATACATGAGAAATTCTACTCTTGGTGCTAATTGAAACCAGGACTCATACGAAAAACTCAAGTTATAACTCAGATAGATGAGGCTAGCTAGAGGGATTAGTTTGAAGTAACAATTACTTGTGATGAAGATATACAGGTGATGAGTAAGTTGAAAAGTTATTTGAGACTCCAAAATAAGGAAAGAAAACAGAAAGATAAACCAAAAGAACAGTTCCCAATCGCAGCAAGCCTAAACGTTTCATGCTCGATCTCTTTAACATTTTGATCTAAGCAAAAATTAGAAGAAAAATTCCAACTTTTACTCGGCTAATGTGGCTTGAAAATGTGATCCCTCTAACGTTTACTCGAGTGATACAAGGAGAGAGTCAGACAGAGTCAAAGAGATGTTCAGATAGATACCTCTACTTGCTTCAACAAAGAGAAGGAGAAAGTCTCTGTGTAATGAAGATTTCCAACATAAAAACAAAGAGGTTCTTTATATAGGAAAGAAAAAGAGTAAGCGTGACTTCAAGTTGACAATTTGAGCTCTTCCCACTTATTATTGCATAGTAGCCTACCATACAACAAGAAGCGTGCCCACTTTCTCTTTCCTCCGAAGTGCACGCCTTCAATTGGACCAAAACTAGACAGATGGCTGAACAAATGGCTTCTAGAATATATCACTTCTCCATATAATCACTTTAAGTCGATTTTAAGTGATTTCTCCCCAGAATCACTTAAAATCACTTTAAATGATTATATGGAGAAACACCTCCTACATGCTTCTCACCAAAAGTTATTTTGGCCTATCCAAAATCACTCCCAAACGAGCCCTAAGTTAGTCGTTTAAAAAAAATCAGAAAATCATAAGAAATACAAGACCATTGCATGAAACAAGTGACTATCAACTTGCTATAGAAGTTTGATTGGGAGATTTTATATTAGAACTATGATGGGACCTCAACTTGCTTCAGCTTATTCACTTCAAAAAACATATATGTTTGATTTAGCATAACCAAATAAAATAGAGAAACAAATATCATACTAAAATGCAGGAGAAATATCTACCAAAAGGAAGTGGCTTGCAGCCTTGCATTATTGTCCCTTGAAAAAAAAGAGATGTTTGTTGGTTGTAGGCATGACATCATTGGTATGGGTGGTGCACTTACTAGTCCTCCTTCTCAATGGAACTGGTGCATGCTGGTAAATTGATTTTAAATCCACCTTTGGGAAAATTAATTTAGAAAATGTGAGGCCACAAATTAATTTTAAATCGCTCGGTTTGAATTCCTTGAGCATTCAGCGCATGGCCTTATCACCAAGTCTTCCTTTGAGTCCAATTTAAGGTACCGACTACATGAAATGAAATGAAAGTTGATTGAAATTGAATGCACTTAACACACATGACATTACATGTACCGACTTCATCTCTCAAGGGTTTGCTGCATTTTGGTTCCTTCGGTTCTGATCAATTTTCAAGAAATTAGTTGTGCGAGTACGAGTACGTGTTCGAGTTACATGAACAAATGTGGAGGACAAAGTTTTTATTTGTTTCAATTTCTATTTGTATTTCTTTTTTCTTTACATTCAATACATTGGAGAGAGCATGTGAGAATGCAAATATAGTTCACTCTTGTTCATTGTACATGGACTTAGTCCTTCATTGATTTCCTATACTACGTACCTTCAAGTTCAAGTAACATCCTCATGGACTGTGAATGACAATGGGGCTCCTCACCGTGTAACGAGAGCTTTTCCATCCGAGGGAGCCAGATATCATTCGCATACTAGGCATTGGGTTCGCCTTTACCACAACTTGGAAGGTCCTCTTTTCCAAAGTGGTAGAGAAAGACAAGCTCATGGGCTTAACAATGATTTCAACTCCTTTTGGTGCTCTGATGGTGGCATTGTAGGTGGATTTAGCAGGACCCACATTGGTGACAGTTCTTCTGAAAACACCTACTGTTGGTTGTTTGCTGCTTTTCAAGCTGAGCTGCATAGTGGGATAGTTGAGAGCATCATAGCCTTGTCCAGGCAGCAATGAGGAACAGTTTACGGACTTTGAGCCCACTAAAGGGGCTAATGAGGACCCTTTATAGCCTTCATGGCAGAGGAACTGAATGTAGGACAATGTCCCATCCATGTCATAGACTAAGCCTGGGTTTACAGCTTTAGTTGGGTTCACTTGGCCAACACCATAGGAAAATTCTGCATCGCTGTTCACCCTCTGGCTCATCGGTTTCGCTTGACAAAGAGTGTAAAACCATGACAAAAGTGAGCAGCATGAACAAATTCGAGTACTATGAGTAAGGGCTTGTTTGGAAATCCTTCTTTACATATTCGCTAAAATCTCACATGTAAGGTGCTTTCTTAGGAAGCGCTTTCATAACATTGTTCACTAAAATCTCACATGCTTCTTACATATTCACCTGAAACCGCTTTGTAAGAAAGCATCTATCATGTGCTTCTCCAGAAAGCCCTTAAGGTGTTTTGGCACTATCAAAAGCACTCCCAAACATAAGTCTTCCTAAGATGAACCGTAAAACGAATTTATTTCATACCTGTGGTCAAGATGGCAGATCTGATTGCAGCTGGTGACCAATGAGGGTGGAAGGACTTTACATATGCTACTACTCCAGCAACATGGGGGCATGACATGGAAGTTCCAGACATGATTGTAAATTCTGAATATTGTGTATCACCTTCCAACCCAGTGAGTGACTTTCTTAGAGTGTAAGATGCCAAAATGTCAACCCCAGGTGCTGCAATATCAGGCTGCACCATATATATGACATAAAAAAGAGGTTCAGTTTCTAGCTGATCTTAGTTATATGGATTATAAGAAAATCAATGATTAAGACTAGACCTTGAGGATGCGTTCTGATCCTGGATTCGGACCACGGGATGAGAATGAAGCGATAAACGGAGCACGTTTCTTTGCTTCGTGAGACTTGGATATCACTGCTGATGGTGATCTACATGACAAAAGTTCTAAGCTGCTTATTTACTTTTGTAGAAATATCAAATAAATTGGCAAAAACTAAGCTGCTTATTTTACCCTGTTGAATGTATATACTCATCTATGATTTCTCCAATTGTATCATTGACCATGGTTCCTGGTGCCATGAATATTTGAGCAGCATCAAGAAGCTGATCATCTTCAATAATAGTGCCAACACCTCCAATTCCCTTAACAACAGAATCTGCTCCCCAATTTTCCAGTTTGCATAAAACAAGCTTTCCCTTTACCTTGTTAGGGTCTAATGAATCCTGAAGACAGAACCTGGTATACATGGCCATCCAGAATTCTTTTTTATTTTTTTATTTTTTTGGGTCAGATTAATTTAACTTGTTATTCTTGACAGCTGATGAACAAAGACAAAGTAATACCTTGCACTCTCCTTGGTTTGAGAGTTTCGTGCTACATCAACCCCGCTAACAAGAGGGTACAAGTTTTTCTTTGGATTGAATGTGTTCACTCCAATCCCCTGCATATTTCATACAAACACAATTAAACTTCACCATGCAACACATCCAGATTAAGTTTTACGGGTTTTTCGCAACAAAAAAAAAAAACCAAAAATTTAGATACCTACCAAAAGTAGCCTTTTTTTTCATCATTAAGCTAGTAATTAATTTGTGGGCAAAATAACCATGGTAAAATTCGAAGTTTTACACACTTATTAAGAAGAAATGCAAACTTACTGAGACGTCCTTGCCATTTCCCAGATGAACTTTACTAATGAACTGCCTATCAATGCCACTCGCTGCCACAGTCACAAACCATGGTGCATGGTTAACAACACTTCCCAAACTTGGTCCATCATTTCCAGCTGAGGCCACAGTGATGATGCCCTTCTTCATGGCATGAAATGCACCTATTGCTATACTGTCCCGAACGTAATTTGGCCCCCCTCCACCAATAGAAATTGATATAACATCGACACCGTCGTGTATGGCAGCATCATATGCAGCTAGGATGTCCATGTCTGTGCAGCCGGAGCTAGCCCAGCACACTTTGTACATGGCCACCCTAGCTGAGGGCACTGCACCTCTTGCAGTGCCCATGGCTAGGCCAAAGAGGCTGGCATTGGGAACTTGGTTGCCTGCTAAGGTTGATGAGGTATGAGTCCCATGACCATCCACATCTATAGGAGATAAGATGTCAGCTGGATCTGGATTTCCATCAAGCTTGAAGTACTTGGCACCTATGATCTTGCTTTAAGTGACCAAATGGTAAAATACATATATGGGTTAGGCCATTTTCAAACTTATATGGTACAATCATAGTGTCCCAAAATATTATTTGTGGAATCTTCTTTATTTAGCAAAGAGTTTTTTTTTTTTTTTTTGGGTGAAAAAGAAAATACACATATTCATAAAAAGTTTGAATCATTGAAATTTATGCAAATTATTATTCACTCATGCAATATGGCATTTAAAAAAGAAAAAGAAAAAGAATAGGTGTCAATATTGACGATTCAAAACATTTTTAAAAAGGCGTTTTCAATTTAAACATAAACAAAACTGGGTTTGTTCTATTCATCATGTATATCGTGAGTGCAACATGGTAGCAGATAAACTAGCTGAATTGGGTTCATGTCTTGAGTTGAGTCTGTCAACTTTCCAGGACCCTCCAGACAGTATTAGGTCATTTCTTAGTGAAGATTTACTTAGAGTTTGTAGGCCTCGAGCCATTGTTTAATTTCTTTGTTGGGCATTAGCCCGTTTCTTCACCCAAAAAAAAAAACATTTTTAAAAAGACGTTTTCAATTTAATTTTGAAAGGTAATATTCAAGAGAAAGGCCCTTATACATGGCAATAACTGAAAACAAATGCTCTCATTTTCTTTCTCTCCCTCTCAGGTTTTTTGTTCCTTGAAGAAAAAAGGAAGAAAACAGTAGATTGACAATTATGTAGGAAACGTGTTTCTGGTGTGGTGTATCAAATAACTTTCTGAGAAAACCTGAAAAGGGTATTTGCCAAAAACTTATGTAATTAGGAATATTTTCTCAAATGATTTTGTTGTCTACAATCTGTTGAAAAAAGTTACTTGTTGCATCCTGAGAAATTAGCAAAGTGGCCACAAGTTCCTTTCCATTTTGCTGGTGGAGGACCAAAGCCGTCGCCCTTAAAGCTTTTGGACTCTGGAGTAATTCCTAACAACATGAACAGACAGATTATATACACAACAAGACAACTCAATGTATATGTAAGTTTTGTTAACATCAGTTAATAGTTTAAGAAATGGTAAGAAAAAAAGAAAAAAAGAAAAAAAACACTAATTTTTCAACCTGTATCAAGGAGACCAACAATTATGTCACGTTCAAGCTTTAAATTTCGTCTAGCTTTTAATGGTAACCCAATGAAGTCCCATGATTTTGTTGTGTGCAGCTTGTGATACCTATTCGGAAGCACGGACAGAACTTCGTCCATTCCTATACATTCACGACGCATAACATGCGAGATTATTAATCTGAGAACCATTGATTAAGTAGATTATCGTTTGAATGTTTGGTCCAAATTCAGTCACAGACATACCCGATAATCTTTCGGCTTCATCACTAGAAAGCTTAGCAGCAAATGCATTGAAGCTCTTTGTGTAGCTGTAAACCATGGACTCTTTAGCCTCAACATAGCTGCAAAACATGAACATGTATGTAAAAAAGAATGCCAATATATAATTTCATGTATATTATTATAGTTCAATGTTTTTTTACATATGCGCATGAGATAAATTGTCCACTAACCTTTCTTTCACAGATGAGAGGATATCAATATGTGTTTGGGCTGCTTCAGAGTCCTCATTCACAGCATGATCTCCCAAGTACACAATGTAAAACTTCTGTTCAATATTTCATAATTACAGAAATGGCAAGTACATGCATGAGATCATAGAGCTACAAATGCCAACAGAAAAAAAAAAGGAACAAAGGAAATTAAGGGACTAGGGAGTGTACCTTTTGGTCATTTCCTTGAACACAAGCAAGGCCTACTAAGATCAAATGAAGAAGAAGAAGAAGCAGCAGCCAATGATCAAGAGGAAGGGGAAAACTAATTGTCTTGCTCCACATGCTTGCAAGATTAGTATTGGCTCTATAAGATCAACTTTTTTTTTGGTTTCTTGTGAAACCACTTTGGTTGTTATATGTAACAACAAGAGGACCTCTTCTTGTTATATATAACAACCTAGGTGGTTTCACAAGGTTTAAAAAAAAAAAAAAAAAAAAAAAAAAAAAATCAAAAGATAGGAGCAAGAAGCTTGAACTTAACTTCTGACATCCCTCATAGCTGAGGTTTTAATTGGTTGGGAAACCTTGAAAGTCAGTTAACAGAAGTTCAGGTTTGAATTCTGCTGAAGTCAGTGTCATGTCATGTATGGTCTGGGATTGCTTCTTTGTGAGAAACTTGCTGAAAATATATATGTCACTGCCCTCTTTGTTTTTGTTACACTTTACATTTTTTTTGGATGGGGTTATATATTTGCCCATGTGAATATATGGGTCAGGATAGGGGGAAACACAAAAAAACACAAATTTTGACGCACTTTCTCAACCATTAGATAGTGAGTCATCCAAAGATTATTGAATTTAGACTATGATATGTTGAATTGGAAAATCAAGATTGATTGCAGAGATAAAAAATTCTAAGTTCAATGAAAAGATCACTGTCAAATTTAGAGCATGAGTTGCTTGGAAACAAAGAGCCTATAAGTTTATAACCTTTTACTTGAATTCCAATTCAAGCAAAAAGGGCTTTCTGTTGCCACTGGTAGAAATAAGGATGACTTATCAAATGGACTAATAAGGGTTTATTAACAACGACTGTTCAACTTACCAAATGGATTTGCTTATCTTAAAAAGGATTTACCTCAGACTAGGAAGAAGTCTAGTGTAATAAACTTCTAAACAAGCATCATTTGTAGACTGTTACTCTTAACTTGAAATATATGCATAATTTGGACTATTGGTAAGCATAAATTGGGCATACAGTTCTTTTTTTCCTTTCCCTTTTTGTTTTTGTTTTATAAAAAAATCCTTGAAGACGTTCATCCTTCATGCAAACCACAATTTGACACACATACGAAAATGATTTATCCAAGCACAGAAAGAAACATTTATACACACATGTCAAACTATAATTGATAAGAAAATAGGAGTTTCTAATGAAACAAGGCAAGTATGTTCCTTTTCAAAATACAATCACAGGACAAGAGTAAAACAAGAACCAATCCGAGTGTCCAAACATGAATATATCAGAAGGGCACCCAAAAAAGAAGGGATACAAAAGACTAAAGGTGCTTAGATTTTAAAATAGCTATAGAGAGTAATGCAGTATGACATGAGAAAAAGGAAAAAGAGAGGAGAAGCAAGGGGATGTGGGCTTTGGATCATCAAAGGTCTTTTTTGGGATAAATGGGCTTTCAGATCATCAAGGAGAGGCCCTGCGATGCTTGAAATATCTTGGATAAACTTTATTGCATCATGGCAAAGCCCATGTTTGTTCTTTTTTTGAAGTAAATGATGTCAAAGTTCCTTGCATATTCATTTGAAAGTGCTTCTAACCAAAAATAAAATAAAAGACTAGCCTATCTAGAGGGCGGTAAATGCTTGATAAGTAGTTTCTTTTTATTATTTTATTTTAATAATTAACAATAATTATTCATGAAATTTAAAGTTAGGTTCTCTTTCAACAAAGTGAAGACTGAATGTCACTAAATCAAATAGTCATTATGAGTCTAATCAACCCTAAAATTGTCGGTTTTCGATATCTATATAAAGGGTGCGTACCAAATAATAGTTATGCGGTGCTTTTATTTTGAGTCAATTTCATTTAAACCCTCTCAAGTGTGATTCAATTACAACCAAACTCGCATGTTTCAATAATGACTTGCTAAGCACTAATTGGTAGATAATTATAGTTTTGTTTTTATTCAATTTATTCATGTCTTTTTTTTTTTTTTTTTTTGGTCTGAAATTATTCATGTCTTTTTCATTGTTCTTATTAGAGCCATCAGTCTATTTCCACCATTGTTCACTGAGTTAGACACCGTCATCAATCAAATTGGCCCATTGGCTTACGCCAAGTAAGGTATCAAACTCTCTTCCATGCTATTTGAATCGGAATCCCTTTCAACAAAATAGACAAAAATGCTACTACTCCAATTGGGCACTGTAAATATTTACTTAAAAAGGAAAGCTTGAGCTCCTTTTCCAATTCCCAGTTCAGAAAGAAAAAAATATTTCTCAATCTCTCAAGTCTCAAATCTCAAGAAGCAAATCCAATGGCACACAATAACCACACCCATCATCTCCATGGCCAAGACCTCCCAAAAGTTCTGCAACTTCTCCCAAACCCCTGCTTCGCTCTCGTGGAGGCCAACAACTCCCACAAGTTCCACTTCCTCAAAGCCTGGGTCTCTCCTCTCCCTCAAGACCAGTTCTTGGAAACGCAAGCAGGCTCAGTGCAGGTCCTTCTCTCCTCCGCCATTGGACCGCCCATCACTGCCCAGATCCTCCATTTGCTGCCCTCCTTGAAGCTCATCGTTACCATCAGCGCAGGCCTCAACCATGTCGACTTGGCCGAGTGTCGAGCGCGCGGCGTGGCCATTGCCAGCGCCTCTAAGATCTTCGCTGAGGATGTTGCTGACGTGGGCGTGGGGCTGCTTCTCGATGTCATGAGAAATATTTCGGCTTCCGATCGGTTTGTCCGAGATGGGTTTTGGGTTAGCAAGGGTGATTTTGCTCTGGGTTCTAAGGTGTCATCATCAATTCTAGTTATTTGAAGTTGAAATGATAAAGTCACATACTTTTGTTGGGTCTCTGTGAGATTTTTTTTTTTTTTTTGGTGATGTGAAAAGTGAAGCTTTGTTTATTTGTTTACTGTTGATGCTTTGCTTTGCTTTTTTTTTTTTTTTTTTTTGTTTTTTTTTTTTTTTTTTTTTTTTTTTTTTTTTTGTAGTGTTTAGATGAATAGATTATCGACTGTGGCGTTTGATTGGTTAGCTTCTTCTTCTTCTTTTTTTGGGAGCCAATATTGAATTTGGTTCGTTTGTTGTCAATCATTGGTTTCCAATCTAGTAGGGTATGTTAGAATTCCATGAAGTCACTATCTTGTTTAGAGTCTAAGAATAAAAAGTCAAAAATGTTAGACTCTTCTTGAGTTTCTTATAGACAACTTGGTTGAGATTAGAAGCTGAAAGTAGTGAAAAAGGAATGTCTTTTAACAGTTCTTCACATCTTTATAATTGAGCTATGAATCTTTCTTTTTTACTGTTGGTTATTTAAAATGGTTTTTTTGATGATTGGGAATTTCAGATAGGAGGCAAACGAGTTGGGATTGTTGGATTGGGAAACATTGGCTTAGAAGTGGCTAAGAGACTTGAGGCCTTTGGTTGCAGTATCTTGTATAACTCAAGGAAGAAAAAACCATTTGTTTCGTACCCTTTCTTTCCTGATGTATGTGAACTTGCAGCCAATAGCGATGTGCTTGTCATTTGTTGTGGTTTGAATGCTCAAACCCACCACATGATTAACAAGAAAGTCTTGTTGGCATTGGGAAGAGAGGGGGTGATTGTGAATGTAGGACGTGGGGCTATAATTGATGAGAAGGAAATGGTGCAGTGTTTGGTGCGAGGAGAGATTGGAGGTGCTGGTTTGGATGTGTTTGAGAATGAGCCTCATGTTCCTAAAGAGTTATTTGCATTGGATAATGTCGTACTGTCACCACATCAAGCTGCCCTTACACCAGAATGTTTCACGGCGTTGCGCGAACTAGTAATAGGGAATTTGGAAGCATTCTTCTCAAACAAACCATTGCTTTCTCAAGTGGAGAATAATTGAAATATATTTATATTTTCAGGTTAGCATATCCATATCTTGCATGTCATAATCATGGTTTATTTCCCATGCATTCATACAGAAACCATTTGCATAATTGAGCTTTAGCAATAACTGTTTTAACTTTTCTTCTGCTAAGTTTCCTGCACTTCTGAATTAATGCAGGGTACGAAAAATTGATGAAATTAATGAGGGGATGAAAGAAGACAAGGATGAAGAACTGATTGGCATCGGATACGGGCTTCCCCTGAATCCTGCGTATCAGCGCTACATAGATTATTATGATTCAATAATTGTTGAATTTTCAATCTTATTTTTTGGCAGGTTTCATGCCTTATTTAATCAGTATGCCTTAGTCTTATATGAAACTGCATGTAGCCTTGTAATTATTGATCAATAAATCAGCTTCAGTGTTCGTGACCTAGCGCTCAAAGGATGCTTGCTCTTATAAACTAGCCTCCTTCTATGTTTTGTTACTAATTGAAATGAGGAATGCAAACTAGAAGTAATTGGGATTCAGAGCATGCTATTGTCGGTCTTAACCCCATTGACTCCATTGACCTGCCGGAATTGTGGAGCTGCTATAGCTAATGCAAGAAATGTGTTCTGTGAGGATGTGGCATATGTGCCAGTAGGGATTGCTTATTCATGTGCTAAGAAAGATTTCGGCTTCTTGGTGGATGTGTGATACATAGGATTTGATCTACTCTATTGTTCTGAGGCCACCATCTATTTGTTTTCTTTTGATTATGTGTTTGTGAGGGGAAATTGGTGTAATGAGTTAGCGTTGTTTCTAGTATTATTGTAAATTTGAGAACTTTTTTTGTTGGTAAAGTAATTTCATCTCCTACTAAATTGCAGCTTAATAAAGCAACAAATTAGAAGCAGACCCTAGCGCATTCGAGTACGTATTGTCCCGCTTAGATTAGAGTAAAATATTAAAATGGGACAACAGAGACTCGGGTAAATTCCTAATAGTAATGGATAATGTTATAAACTAAAATTTAAAAGAAAGAAAGGATCCTAGTATACACATATATAGTATAGCCTTTATTAAATTAAATTAAAACAAAATAAAAAACCAGTAAAGTCGGGTGGCTATACTATTTTTTGGGGAAAACTGAAAAATCGCGTATAGCCGGGCGGCTATACTCTTGAGTTAAACAAAGCAGAGTTCTCGTACACCGCCCAGATGCCATGTCAAAATAAGGATAGCCGGGATTTTTCCAAAAAAATAAAACACGTTGCGTATAGCCGACCGGCTGTACTATTTTTAATATATAAAAAGAACCCTTAGCGATTAAGTGCCATATGTCAAAAGTAGTAGAGCCGGGCGGCTAAAGGAAAATCGCAGTGTAGCCGCCGGCCATACTATTTAAATAAACTATATTTAAAGCAGTACGTGTAAAAATAGTAAACTCGTTCGGCTATACTATATTTTTTCAAAAAACATTATCCAGTATAGCCGCGCGGCTGTACTATTTTTTAATTGTCTGCAGATTAAATAAATTATATTTAAAGTAGTGATCAGGTGCCACGTATAAAACGCCAAAGCCGGACGGCTATACTATTTAAAAAAAATTAGAAACATCAAGTATGGCCGTTCGGCTGTACTATTTTTAATATAAAAAATAAACCCCTACAGATTAGTGGCCACGTGTCAAAAATACTATTTAAGTAGTTATTTGGTGCCACGTGTAAAAATGGTAAAGCCGAACGGCTATACTAAAAAAAAAAATTAGAAACATCCAATATAGTCGTCCGGCTCTACTATTTTAATAGAAAAAAGGAACCCCTATAGATTAGTTGCCACGTGGCAAACATACTATTTAAAGACATTATATTTAAAGTAGTGATTTGGCACCACGTGTCAAGAATAGTAAAGCCGTGCGATACTATTTTTTTTTAAAAAAAGTGGTACAGCCGTGCGGCTATACTGTTTATCAATAAAAAGTTAAGCGAAAAGCATTAGTTTATACTTTAGAGATATTAGTTTGCTAATTTCAACATATCCAAAGTAAATATTGATCGTCTATTGTATAATATTTTAACATGTATTTTATTTTTATTCAATAATGTGTGAGAATTATTTGTATAATATGTGAATTTTGTATGTCGTATTTAAAATTTTGTAAAAAATACGTGTATTAAACATGAGGAATATGAACATAGATATACAATACAAGTATCTTATGTTTGCTTTTTTTACAAATACGTACGTGCATGTATCATACAATATTAAGCGTGAAAGTGTTAAATTGTTTATATGGGTAATAACTAAGAAAAAGTAAAAAATTAAAAGGGGACAATAGAGACTTGAGTAATGACCTCATAGTAATGAATAATATTATAAATTACTCGATAAATGAAAATAAGGCAAAAAATTTAAAAGAAAGAAAGGATCCCGGTATACACATATATAGTCTAGCCGCATAACTAAATCAAAGTATAGATTTATTTTTAAAAAGCAGAGCTGCTGCACAGCGCCTTGGTGCCATGTGTCAAAATAGTATAGCCATGCGGCTATACGATTGTGTAAAAAAAATTTACACATGTATAGCCGTGCGGCTGTACGATTTTAACATTAAAAAAGAATCGCTAGGGATTAGGTGTCACGTGTCAAAAATTTTATAGCCGTGCGGCTGTACTATTTTCCTTATAAGCAAAATCATAGTATAGCCGCACGGCTATACGATTCAAAGTGGTTATTAGGTGCCACGTGTCAAAAATAGTAGGGATAAGGTGTGACGTGTGAAAATAGTAGGGCCGTGGGGCTATACGATTTTTAAAAAAATAAAAATAAAAAACATCGAGTATAGCTTTATTTTTAAAAAGCAGCGCTGGGCGCCATGTGTCAAAATACGTATAAACATAGTAGCTGGCTATACTATTTTAAAAAAATATCTAGTATAGCCGCTCGGCTATACGATTTATTAAAGGAAATTAAAACAAAAGAAAAAACCTAAAATCTGTCAACTTTAAAAAAAGAAAATTTGATCGTTTTGTTAGTTAAGACATTTTTAAACCTTGTCTACTCGCTGCAGCCTGCAACTCAAATGAACGACACCTAACCCTATAGAGTCGTACGAACACACACCTCACAGTAAAACCCCTCCATGTTTCTCACCAAGCTCTCCCGCCTAAACCCAAACCCACTCTTACTCATTCTCACGCGCCACCTCTCCAACCCCTCGAAACTCCACGACCGCTACTCCTTCAAACCCCCACCCTCCCTTTCCCCAAACACCCAAGGCCAAAACCCGAACCATAATAACCCCAAGAAGAAGCAGAAACCCCAGTATCGCCCGCCATCGTCCCTCGACCGAACGGGTCAGAAGCCGATACATTCGGATTTGCCCTTCGATTTCAGGTACAGCTACACCGAGAGCAGCCCGACGGTGAGGCCCATTGGGCTGCGCGAGCCCAAGTACTCGCCTTTTGGGCCGGGGCGGATTGACCGGGAATGGATCGGGGTGTGTGCGCCGGCTGTGGACCCCAAGGTGAGGTCCGTGCAGGGAGCAGAGGAGGATCCGAAATTGGAAGAGAAGAGGAAGAGGAGGAGACAGAAGGTTCAGGGAGAGCCTCTAACTCCGGCCGAGAGGAAAATATTGGTGGACAAGTGCCAGAGGCCCAAAACCAAGAGGCAAATCAATTTGGGTATGGTTTTTTCTTTCTCCTTTCTGTTTCGTGTTTTATGAGCTTCTTAGAGTGTGGTCCGTAAATTGCCAACAAAAAAAGAAGTGTTTGATAATATGGGCACTCCCAATTTTGTATGATTGAGCAGATTTGAGCTTTTTTTCTTGATATTCTTTTGTGCTTGCTGAATTGGGTTTTTGGTTTTTGTTGTAATTGATATAGGTTCGAGTTTCTTGAGCTTTAGGGTATTCTGACTTTGTTTGATTGTTGGGGCGTGAGCTTTTTGTACTGTCTAATGTGATTGTTTTGGATTTTGGTTTTACTATTTTGGTGAGTAATAAGTGTATGGTCTTGGGTTCTATTTGGTGTGTTTGCTTTGTAGGCTTGTATTATTTCGTCTTTTTTTTTCAAACAAGTTGAGGCAATCAGGCAAATGTCCCACTTTTGCAACGTTTTAAAGTTTTCTATATGACAACCCAATTTCTAAACAAGAATAAGCAGTGTATTTTATGATAATCATCACTCTTATTTATCTCTGCTATCGTCTTATTGTGTCCTATTGTTTGATTTCTTGTAGGCAGAGATGGTTTAACTCACAATATGCTGAATGATATTCAAAACCATTGGAAACATGATGAAGCGGTGAGGATAAAATGTCTAGGTGTTCCCACCGTTGACATGAAAAATGTTTGCACCCAACTTGAGGTATCTTATGTTCTAGTTACCGCTCTCTGCACTGCATCTTGCGTCTGATAGACTGTTGTTTCACTTTTCTCTTCTCCTTGAGTCTTTTGCGATGTGGTTATGCATGCTGTACCTCAGAGAGGTCCTTTTTTGTGTTTACGACTTATGAACTTTATGCTACATATTCCAATCCCTGCTTCGCATATAGTATAGTTCCTTAAAGCATTAAATTCTTGCTACTTTCCATCATCAACCACTTTTGCAAGGTTATATAGTTTTTATTATTAACCTTAACAGAAGCCATCCACCTTTGGTCCCAGCAACCCACCTTTTAACCGTGCATGCCCTTGGCATTACATCATTATCTGGGTTGATGATACACAATGAAAACTAAAAATTCAAACTCTGTTGGAAGATAAGCTGTGGAATTTGCAAGGGGATCTCTGTAGAATCAACGATGGCACTGAGGGACAGCAAGGACAATGCAACACTTATGTTTCAGATTATGAAACATAAATTCTGATTGTAAAATCAATGAATAAATTAAATGCAACATATAAATGTTTGTGTTGCATTATGAATTAGTTTACATATGAGAATGGTTTCAGGATTCACTATTATTTCTTGGAAGTTGGAAGAAATGCTAAATGCATGTTTCATGTGTATGTTGCAGGACAAAACCTTCGGAAAAATCATCCACAGACATGGTGGTGTACTTGTGTTATACAGAGGCAGGAACTATAAACCCAAGAAAAGGCCCGTGATTCCATTAATGTTGTGGAGGCCACATGAGCCCATATATCCCAGGCTGATCAAAACTACAATTGATGGCCTAAGCATTGAGGAAACAAAGGAAATGAGGAAGAGAGGATTAGCTGTCCCTGCTTTAACAAAACTTGGTACATCCTTTTTCTGGCTATGGTCTTTATGACTTGATACGTATTTCTATGATCATTTACAAGCTAGATGAAACTGCAGCCAAGAATGGTTATTATGGTAGTCTGGTATCCATGGTTAGAGATGCTTTTATCTGCTGTGAGCTGGTTCGGATAGACTGCCAGGGTCTTGAGAAGAGTGATTACAAGAAAATAGGCTGCAAACTCAGGGTAAATTTCCAAGCCATTGTATCTTTTCTGCTGAAGCTTGCTTTATGTACAGTTCTAACTTTTATTGCTCCCACGTACAATGAGATGCTTGCACTGGCTAGTCATGGGCAATTCCTACTGCATTTTCCTTCTTTCTGTATATCTGGGAAAGACACAATGATATTCTTTCTTAACTTTCTTGGCCTTGTTGATGCGGACTACCTACATAACCTAGAATGTGTATCTGCATGTGCGATTGTTTCTGTTTATCTAAGTTTTTTCTTTTTTACTTATACTTTAGTATTTTTGTTGGTCAACCACTTATACTTCAGCATTGATACAGGATCTTGTGCCTTGTATCCTGGTGACATTTGAGAAGGAACAGATTGTAGTTTGGAGAGGAAAGGACTATAAGCCTCTAGAGGATGGATACTTCCTTCCAGATCGAGAACTGTTTGATAATCCAGAAGGTGATTTGGTTTCAGGAGAAGAGGGGTGTGGTAACTCAGATGGCAACAGTAGCGAAGAGGAATTCGACTCTGGTGAAGAGTAGTAGTCCCTTCTTGCCGCAAGTTACAGACACCACATGGGTGTTATCGGTTGGAGACTTGGATTTGATCAAGCTTTTCTTCTCCCAATTGCAATTTTGGAATTCATGGAGAGCCGAGTGGAGCCGGTCCACAATATCCTGGAAATGGTATTTGGGTGCATTTTTGGGTTGTGTTGTAGCGAGGAAACTGCCTATTGAAATTAGATAACAAGATCTAACAGGTCCCCCTCTGCAAGGCAAAAAATGGAAAAAAGAGAAATACTTATTCCGTATGAGTGTGGAGTGAAAAAAGGTAAAAGGAGCCAAAACCTGAAGTGAGAAAACTGTACTGGAATTGGGTGAAAAAACCAAGGGTAAGAATTGCATAAGATTCTTTGGATTTGATTCTCACCGTTTGGATGCCAAAAGAAATGTTTGCATTATTATTGTTCAAAGAGTATGAATATGGAGTGATTCTATGTATCAAATGAACTCTGACTCTCAGATTGCGGAGATTTAATATGCAGAGACTGATACTAATCCTAATTGGGCTAGCCTTGGATCAACTTAACCCTAATTTTATTTCTGCCAATGGTTAACCATGCCAACCCTGACCAAAAAAGAACAGAAATGATGTTGAATCTCAAAATGGTAACATTTTTTATATTTTTACATCACATGCAATGGAATATTTTTCTGACAAATCATTTTCATTACATAATAAGTAGACCCCAAGATCCCTCCAATGCATGCATCCCAAATGCATCATGTCCATTGTCTCCATGCTGCTGCTGCTGCATGTGCTTCACAAATTCATAATTTCCTCCATAGCAGTGGGAGTCGGCCCACTGAGACTGCTGGTGGGACCCCTCTGCTCCTCCGCAACTGGGCCTTGTGATTGGGAAGCATCCACTCAATTCAATTCACATTGTATCAACTTGTCTGTGTTTTGCTTTGCTTTTGCTTATTCTCTTCTTATATTATATTGTCCCCACCAAAAAGGCCAAAAGGCCAGGTAGATATTATATTATTTGAGTGTGGTAGTGAATTGGTTCAGATTACAGCTCAAAATGTTCACAGCAATTCGTCCAAAAAAATATATAATGTTCACTGCAATATCGTAAGGAATCTCTCAAGTTAAATAGGTCGCCAAAATAAGTACCAATAAAACTTTGGTATAGCAAATCACCCACCAGTGTAATGATTTGAAGTAATTGCTTTTTTAGATAAGGTTATGAGGTTGAGTTCTAACATTCGTATAGTGTGTGCGAGTTTAATATATTATCATCCATTTCAATAAGAAATATCCTTTTAAAAAAAACTTGGATATGAAAACCAAACAAAAAAATATCAAGATTTTCATGTATACAAAGTCATGCCGCGCGCCTCTTTTGAACTCCCCCATTCTTTAGTTGTACAAAGTCATGAAAAAACAAATGAAAACCCCCTTTGACCCTAAAAATACAATGTCTATATGTAAATGCACTTCCTCTCCCTTTTTCTTTGATCAATACATTTTTTATATTTCAGGCATTCAAATCAAACAAAGTGGAGGGATTCTGCGTTCAAATTATGTGCATGAGATTTTAATATTTATGTAATAATTTTATGTTTACATAAAAAAATTATTTATCTAAAAAGTTGCGACTGTTTTTTTTTTTTTTTCCTTTAAAAAACTTGTTGAAAGAGTATGAAGTCATTGCTCGTCATTTGACGACATAACTACTACAATGAGACTCCATTTGAATGACATTATAAGGTTACATTGTTTGTTTAGACCATTACAATAAGATTTGTGCAATAAATAAATGATGAAAATAAATAAATTATAAATGATTCCTTCCATATAGTAATTTCATATTCATTCAATCTAGTGTATCTGTCTCTTGTTTTTTAAGCAAATTTAGTATACTTATCAAATACAAATCATTTATTTCAAATTTCTCCATCCAAACAGAATGTAAAGTTTTTCTTAATTAGATTTCACAATTTATTTACACCAACACCCTGGAGGTTTCTTGTGTTTTCACAAAATCTTCTCAGATCTCAAAAATTATACGAACACCCTCTGAGGCTTCAGTTTGTTTTCACAAAACCCATTTTCGTTTATTATTTGTCTAAAAATTGATGATTTTATTAAACAAAACTTATGCAAATGACAAAATTAACCTCAAAGGTGTTCGTGTAATTTCTAAAACTTGAAAAAAATTTGTGAAAAAGTCAAAGACTTGATGGGTGTTAGTGTAAATAACTCTTTTTGTATTAACCTATGTATTGTCGTCGACCCACTTCTCATTTCATGTTGTGCCAAACGCGCCGTTCTCAGATTGAAACTCAAGTGGAGTAGTATTAAAACTAGAGATTTTCTATTTAAACCCCACACTTCTCTTTGTTCACCCCAATACTTAAATCATTAAGCTGTAAGTTTTATTATTGTGTAAAAAGACAAAAAAGGTCATCGAACTTAATAACTAACCCTAGTACACACACCCCACACACTCCACCACTCTTCATATTAAGTTTTAGAAACCTCATTCCAACTTCCTGTTTACAAACTCTCTCTCTCTCTCTCTCTCTCTCTCTCTCTCTCTCTCAAGTTCTCAACTCAACAATACCCAAGTGTTAGAATTCCAGTTACAATCCTTGAAGAGAGGTAAATCTGTTCTCTTCCTCTAGATATTAAATTTCGGATTTAGGGTTTCATTTGTTTGTGTTTTTTTTGGTTGGGAACAAAGAAAATTGTGGGGTTTAAATAGAAAATCTCTTTTAATTCTTATTTTTTCAGTTTGGGGTGTATTTAAGGGTAGGTTGGGAAGATAGTGGGGTTTTCTTAGAAATTGTGAAAATTTAAATTAAAAATTGGGGTGAACTTAGAACATGAGGTGAACTAAGAGAAGTGTGGGGTTTAAATAGAAAATCTCTTAAAACTACGAAAAAAAATTTGGAGCCACCTTTTATTTATTTTTAACAGAAAAAAATATATAAAAGAAAAACGCGGCGAAATAATAAATCTTCCACCACCACACGTAGAGAGTCATCGACATTTTTTAGCCTTAAATACCGTTTTGTCCCTCTCTCTCAAGCTTGTTGCTTCATCTGCCATTCCATTATACTCTGCTACATACAGCTACCACCACCCCAAGAAAACACACACAGTAATGGCAGACAAAGATCTCGCCTCGCCTCTCATCTCTTCTGCACCCTCCGATCACCCCCACTTGATCCTCACCGTCCAAGACGACACTGACACAGACCACAACAACCATAACGGCAATCACGGCAGCAACAGCACCCACCACCACTTTCGCAACCCATATGCGTTTCTCGGGTCGGATGGGTTCACCGTACCCGGTTCGACCACTGCGGACCCGTTTAGGAACCACACACTGGAGATTCGTGGGCTTTACGAGTGGTTAAAGATCGGAATTTGCTTGCCCATCGCGCTGGTTCGGCTTGTGCTCTTTGGGGCCTCTTTGCTGATTGGGTTTGTGGCTACAAAATTGGCTCTTCAGGGATGGAAGGACAAGAAGAACCCTATGCCTAAGTGGAGGTGCAGGATTATGTGGATCACTAGAGTCTGTACTCGTTGTATTCTGTTCTCTTTTGGGTAAGTTTGATCTGGAATTATTTTTTGGGGTTTTTTATGCTGTTCTGTTTTGGTTTTGGTTAAGATGTGTTTGGAGGAAAAGATTAGAAAGTGGGATTTGGAATATTTTTTAAATTGAAGTCAGGTAGGTAGTTTGAGTGGAAATGGTCAAGTGAAGACATGATTTTTGAAATGTTTATGGCGACCTGTTTGGATGCTGAAAATTTTGAGCAAGGATATGTGACTTTTAGTTTCGGGAGATTTAAGTGCTGTAATCAAGTGAACTGGATACTTTCATTAGATTCGAATGAAAGGAATTGTAGGAAGAATCTAATTCTATTTGAAGCTGGTGTGTCTGTGTTTGTTTTTTGGGTCAGCTCACATAGGTTGGTAGAGAGAAATATGAGGAAAATAATTGAGTGAAATGATTTGGGCTGGTGGTGATAAGTAATCGGTTTGGCAGTGCATCTCTTTTCATATCAGAGTTGATTTTTCATTTTAATATTTATTTGCATCCTTGACAATGGTGGAATGATTGGTATGAGAGTATTTTTTTTTTCTTTTCTAATAATTGATGTTCCCTCTTTCACCTTTTAGCTACCATTGGATAAGACGGAAAGGAAAACCTGCTCCTAGAGAAATTGCTCCAATAGTTGTATCTAACCATGTATCATTCATTGAACCTATCTTCTATTTCTATGAATTATTCCCTACAATTGTGGCATCCGAATCCCATGATTCCCTACCCTTGGTTGGAACAATCATCAGAGCAATGCAGGTAATTTCGTGTCCCTTCACTCCATATGCAAAACAACTTGTTACAATCACTTTAGTTGCTGGTATTTATGTTCCGTTGTAACGGTCAGTCTCATTGCTATCTGTTCTCAGGTGATATATGTAAATAGGTTTTCTGCATCATCAAGGAAGCACGCTGTTAGTGAAATAAAGGTAAAAAGTTTCTGTTAGTTCTTGGATATCCTTATTTGATTAGTAAGTCATGAACCAATTTAGATAAACAGGTTCTCAACTTTTGTCTCTAAACCTCTTTGGTATTTATCCTCGCGCAATTAGTTGCATACTGGATGCAATTGCATGAATCTATATTTAGGATTTAATAAGTTAAGTGATTTTTATCAATTTTATAAGCTATTTGATACAGAAATGTGCTTTCAAGGATCTGAATACAGAGAAAAGCTTCTAGCGATAGATTTCCTCGAGTGCTTTTATTTCCTGAGGGAACCACAACCAACGGAAGATTTCTTATTTCATTTGAACTTGGTGCATTCATCCCTGGTTTCCCCATACAACCAGTAACTGTACGCTATCCCCATGTACACTTTGACCAATCCTGGTATGGCACTTTTCCAATCTCAAAATTTTGTTGGTGTTGTCTTGAGTGGTTCTTATTACGCTTCATGTGGTGTTCTGGTCAGGGGGCACATTTCTTTGGCAAAGCTCATGTTTAGAATGTTCACACAGTTTCACAATTTCATGGAGGTAATCTCTTTCTCCTATTATATTATGGTTGTTTCTTCGCGTTTTATCATAAACTTTTGTATTGCATGGGCATTGATTTAGGTAATTTGATCTGAATTGAGCAGGTAGAGTATCTTCCTGTTGTCTCACCCCTTGATAACAAGAAAGAAAGTGCTGTTTGTTTTTCTGAGAGGGTGAGAATTTGCCAGAAATTGATAAAAATCCATTTTTCTTTTGCCATGATTTTGGTTTTGCATCGCTTTTTTTTTTCTTTTTTTCTTTTTATGCCATTGTTTTATAGATTATTAATGGAAGTTGACACATACAAATATATGCAGACTTGTCATGCTATGGCAACTTCACTCAATGTTGTACAGACATCTCATTCTTATGGGGACTTAATGCTACTTATGAAGGCATCTCAGTCGAAATCAAAACTGGTATACATCTTTGTTTATAGTGATGCCTTACCAATTTTTTGTAACAAGCTATGAACCTGAGACCCACCCTAACCCTATACCCCCTTCATTTACTACCCAAGCCAAAGCCCATCAATTATAGCATTATATGAGCTTCTATGTGTTAATTTAAATTTAGACTGTTATAAGAGCTACTCAATGACCTCTTCATTCTGAACTAAACGCTTCTATCCTGACTTCCACAGGAGCGCCCCGCATCTTATATGGTTGAAATGGCGACTGTAAAATCAGTAAGTCCTTCCACATAACTCATAATTGTGCATCCTTGTGTTTCTAGCATATATAATGTTAGAAACTGGAACTAGAACTGAACAATTTTGTAAAATAACTTTATCTCTCTTCATGATAAAAAAAATAATAATTAAGTTAGGAGGAGATTCATGTGTTATTTATCTTATGTCTCATTTATTTCCTCTGAATACAATCTTTTTTGAACTATGGATGATTGCAGAAGTAGCAACTAGTACTTGTAGATCTTATCAAAGTTTTATAGAAGCATTCAGTAAATAAGGGCGAGTCCTTTGAAATGGTACCCTTAATGGATAAAAGGGAAGATGACTATTTAATTCTTTTGCCATGACTGATGCTTCTGTGGTTGAGTTCTCAAGGCACAAGTCACTTTAGATTACTTCATGTATAGGATCCTACATAATGATGTGATGCTTGAAAGCAGAATAGTAATTTATATTACTTCATATATGGGCTTCTACAAACTGACATGATGCTTGAAAGCAGAATAGTTTCACAAGTATACAAGAGTAGACGGATGAAGGTTTCCCATAGGATCCTACTTAGTTCATTGATTCAACAGATTGACATGTTATTGTTCTAACTTTAGAAAGTGGCTTTAGCTTCTTCAATACAGTCTGATGCATCTACTTTTCTGCATGGTATCTGCTATTTCTAGCAGCTGCAATACAAAAGTGTCTAAGCTTATATGGTTCCTATCATGAATTTATAAGTTAATGCGCCCTTTGTTTATTTTAACGATGTATGTGAGACCTGATAGAGAAATTAAGTAATTTGTATCTTGTTTTGCAGCTACTCCATATAAGCAGCATGGAAGCTGTGGACTTTCTGGATAAGTTTCTTTCTATGAATCCAGACCCTAGGTACTGTTGAAACTATTATTAAAGTGAAAGTTGTTGCTGAGTCATCTTTTGAGTGAAAGTTGTTGTTGTCTCTACCTTTTTCCTTGTGGATATCTTCCCTCCCTCTGTATTTTCTTAACGACATTTATGGCAATCCCTTCTCCTAAAAAAATTTCGATTAGGTATGTTAAAATTGCATGCTCAAGATAGTATTTAAAAATGCTATTGGAATTCCGTGTTTATTTGCAAAATATTAGTCCTTTTGCCAACCAATACAAGGAAAAAGGTGTATGTTTTCTCTCTTTTTTCTTTATCAGTCTTACTAACATTTACTATGTTGTGGGTATTATATGTGTTCCTCCTGCTTTTATATTGCATGCATTTGCAATTTTTTTTACCCTTTTCATGTCCGTAAAGTGTTGGTCCTGAATATTGTTTCAGTTGCAACTTCTACAGTTCACTGAGCAAAGCTGGGATAACGAATCTGACATAAATGAGTGATTAGATGCTAACTAATGAATTTATTTAAATGACATGACATCTGAAATACTATACTTACAAATGGTGTAAGTATGTTCAAACTTATTGAAAACGCAAGACTTGTAAGATTCTTATTGTTGTATCCTGCGTACAGAGGTCATGTTAACTACAGTGGTTTCCTGAGGGTTCTAAGACTCAAGGCCTGTACCTTTTCCGAAGAGGTCAGTTACCATGATCTTTTGCTAAATAATTTCCCTTTGTCTTGTAGTTTTGCAAAGAGTTTGACAGGCTATATGATATATTCTGGGTTTTTTTGGACTTTGCATAGAAGAGATCATCACATCAGAGTTGTATGTGTGTTTGGCTTCCAAGCACCCCAACAAATTCTTTCCTCTCCTTTAGAATAGAAATATGATTGCATGGCCTTTGATACCCTTCTGTTGGTCACCAGGTGGACTTACTTTTTGCTTTATCCCTGACAATATTTGCTCTACGTGTTTGTCCTTCTCCCTGTACGCTTACTTCAGTAGCCTATATTAGCACTTTGTGGTTAGTATGTTAGCATTGTCTCTACCTGATTAAGGACATGGGGACAGGTGACTGTTTTTGGCAGGGTACAAGATGTTCATTCTGGGGAAAATGCATGATAGTTTTTCTCGTCTTTTTCATATTTTCTTTCTGTTGTCTTTTCCTTATTTAAACTATCATGATTGCTTTCTTTCTATTATCATGCTGCTGACCTTATAAAGTATACTATACACAATTGAACATTAGTGCATGTTAAATGCTTTTTCGATGTGTATATAACTTTTACTTTTCCCTGTCATTCCCATAACATGGAAATCTTTTGGATAACAGATATTTGCTTTCATTGATGTTGAAAAAAGTGGATCAATCACGTTTAAGCAGGTACTCCAACACCCACAGGCTGTCTCTCTCTCTCTCTTCTTCTGTGTGTGTGTGTGTGTGTGTGTGTGAATACGCGTGTGTGCATTTTTTAGCATGCGCTAATGCTTGAGTGTATTAATAATGATTACGTCATTATAGAATATTTTCTACAGCGTATTTGAGGTGAGTGATGGTGTGAGCTGCAGAGATGAAATTTTACACTAACAGGATTTGTATATATTATACACATCATCTGGAATCAAAAGTAAAGCATGTTGGGTTGGGGAGGTTTTTGTTGCTCCTGAATGAAAAGTGATACTTTATATTAGAATAGAAATCCACAGAGAAACCTTAGAGATTATAATGCATGTATATTTCATATATTTTTAGATACCAAATAAATTAGATTCATTGCATGATTAACTTGTTACTCAGGCATATATGGTACTTGGTTGTTTATGCAACTGTTTGTGCATTTGATTTTGTTTTTGGCTTTGGTTTTATATGTCATGGTACCAAGTTGTACATAATAGTATCATTTTGTTGCTTTCAGTTCTTGTTTGGGTCAGTGCATGTCCTGAAGCAGCCCTTGTTCCGGCAAGCCTGTGAATTAGTTTTTTCTGAATATGTTTCTGGGGAGAATGACTACATTTCAGAACAAGAAGTATGCCGCTTGCATTGATTTTTCCTTCTTGTTTTTCTTTTCAAGTCCACACATCTTTGTTATGATGAATTGACTTGCAATTTGTGGTTTTTAATTGCTTCGGAATCAGTTTGGAGAGTCCATCAGGCCTGCAATCCCGGATTTGAATGAGGATGAGGTGATGGGCATACCCTTCTGGGCTTCCATCTAATTTCTTAGGATTTTTAAGCATTGCCTGCACATAATGGAGCATCAAAGCATCTTCCACTTGTGTCTTTGGTAAGATGACTAATGTTAATTGATTGCTTGCAGGTCCATGAACTGTTTAATCTATTTGATGCTGATGGTGATGGAAGGATCAGCAAGGATGAATTTTGGACCTGTCTGAAAAAAAACCCACTACTGATTGCGCTTTTCTCACCTTGTTTGCTTAACAAGGACATTTCACAAGATGGTAATAGGTTGGTGGAGGAGATTGTGTAGTGGATGCAGAGAGATTCTCTTTATGGCTTGTGGAGATTTTGTGCACCATTTGTAACCTCCATTAGTCTGGTTTTATTTTGGGTGGAGAGAGAGAGAGAGTGGCGGAGCTTCGAGTTGTGTGAAGTAATAGGGAGGGAGGGGGCATAATATTTTTACCTTGCTCCCTTAAGTTGCGCATACTGGAGTTCAGATTTAATTGTTTTTTTGATCTGTAACTTTATATGTCATTGTTTAGAAAGTGATCTTACATAATTATAGTTTGTGCATTAATCCAGATAGATTTTTTTGTAGCAGATTATGTAGTGCTAAACCAAACTGAATGGAGATTGCAAAAGTGTGATATCAAATTTGATTGTAAAATTTTGCAATTTTTCTCTTAACTTTTTAGAGCATGTCCTGGCCTAGCATCCAATGTCAGGTATGGACTGAGCCAGTCAAGGAAATTGAAAACAGACTTTTCACAGGCCAAAACTGGAAGAAGACAAGTGACAATGACATCAGTTGGTAACCAGAACTTTCCTACGGAAAAAAGGTTCCAATTTTGAATTCCTCACCTTCAATTATCAAAAGAGGAAAGACTAATTTACTTTAACTAGAATTAGAATGGTAGGGCAGTGGTGATCCACCACAGGGCAAATTCCACATCAGAATTTTTTTATTTTGGGCAAGGAATGGTCAATGTTAGGCCTCAGTTGCATTGTATTTGCCTTAATTCAGCAGCTGAAGCCAAAGGAATGTCCCAGTCTCCCCCATTGAGGGTAGAAAGTGGAGGGCTTTCATTGTCTGGGTGGGACAGTGAGATGATAAATATCACTTTCTTCCAACAAGAATCTTGGCATATATTCTTTAGCAAACAACCAAAATGGTAGAAACTGGGCTATATTATATATAATGGCCAAGACAGTGTGCTCTCTCCTTTGCACTCGAATTCGACCCCTCATACTTTAGAATAGTTAAAATATCTTGTCCAAAAAAAAAAATTATGAAAAAAAAAACTGCCTGAACATTGCAATAACTTGTTTGTCTTAGTGCTTCCTTTCCTTGATTGTCCTGCCTTATAAACTCAAAGGCGGAACATAGTTGATATTTTCAATTGGAATTCTCAAGGTGTTGTGTTCGAATTTCTCATATTAAATAAAAATTATTTCTCAAAAAAAAAAATAATAATAATAATAAAACTTATGATTTAATTATACTCTCTCTTAGCTAGGTTATAGGTGAAATCAGATATTAATGGATGCCCATGATATTATGACCAAGTTTTTTGAATTTTAATTTTCTTTTATGATTTCATGTATTGATGCTTAACTTTATCCCTCTATTAATCAGTTCGGCTGATGAGATTGACAGTAGCAAGATCTATCCTGTGAAGGCCAGGCAGAGCTATTATCATTTGGTCACACACACGATAAATAAATTCGCAAAGTAAATTTTGTATCCTCAATACCAACCTTCACCTAGAATCGGGTCCACTTCTTAGTTCCCAACCTCCCAATCTACCCCGATCATAATTTATTACTAGCTCCCGCATGTGCCAATTGGTTTTATTTTTTCTTTTATTTATTTTATTTTTAGAATTAAAAAAAATGACATGGATAGTTATGTTCCATAAAAGTATGACTTATTATCTGATTTGTTTTTAATTTTAATTTTTTTAATATGAAAAAATGTGAATTTACCATATTATCCTCATTTAATTAATAATTTCAATTCTCAATGTTTGAATTAATCAAGGGCATTTTCTGGTATTTTGAATGTTTCACCATTCTCTGTCTTTTGCTTTATATATATATATATATAGATAGATAAATGCATACTATTTTATTTTTATTTTACATAAGTGATATTAAAAAAGGGTATTCAAATACATGACTTTCAGTATAGGGGTAACCACTTGTAACCTACACACCCCTTGCATTTATAACATGTATACAAAATTGACTTCGTTATACATAAAAAAGAAAAATTCATATACACATGTTAAATTGTGATTTATCTATAAAGACGCATGAGTTGAGTTCTTACATGTAAAGAGTCAAATATTAACACACCCAGAATCTCATAGTTCAAAAGATAATTATAGTTAGTCATATTAACCGACTAATCTTTGATATAATGGTAATTGTCTCCACTTGATTTGAGGAGAGCTGAATAAATAAAAATCAATTATAATATATTATTAAAGAGGAAAGAAAATTAAATATTTTTTATGTAATATAAATTAGGTTATATTGGCAAAGGTATTGTGCTTACTCCATTACATTCAAGTTCAAATCTCTATTTTCGTAAATTAGATCATATTGGTGAAGATACTGTGCTTGCTCCTACAGCACTTCGTAAGCATTTATTGATGTTTCAACTTCAAATAATTGAAAATAAAGATGAGAAGAAAGAACATGTGGAGAGGGAGAGAAGAAAAGTTGGGATTTTTTTTCATGAAAGATGCGGCTAGTTGGGAGAGAAGAAAAGTCCACTTTTTAAAACTATTTCAAATATGCCCACAACTGTTTCAATAATTACGTTGTGACCCCAGTTTTTATTTTAAATCCAAAATGGTCCCTGCCATATTTTGACTTTAGTTGACCATGTCCAAAAGTGTCTTAACCGTTGATCCGTGTCCAAGCCATGTCCGAGGCGTGTCCACGTGTTTACATGTCAGACACTCCGACACTTCAGTATGATGGAGTGTCTACGCTATATAGCACTCAAACTCAAATATCAACTTTTGTAAATTAGAGTAGTTCAAGATATCGGTTCGTAAAATTTTTATATATATATATATATATGTATCTTCTGCTTACAAATACATATGTCTTTTTCATGACAGAGATTAATTGGTTAAAGACATTTATGACCGCGACATTTTAAGAAAAAACACGTTACATTTATTACAGGCAAAAAGAAAAAACACGTGACATGTACATTTTCGGTAGACAATTAGTATTGAGTAGCATGCGTGCAGAGAAATCAGGAAAACTGGGTGTGACAGGTGTAGAGTGGGAGTTGATGATGGTTTGGCTCCCGGCTCCTCCACTGTTTTTCCTTCTTTTCTTTTTCTTTTTCTGGGTGGGATGGCCTGCATCCCCTTTATATGGTCGGGATGTGGATAGCTCCTCCCCAACCACTCATCATTCCACATGAAAAATTGAGCAGTTTTTTCTTTAGATTTTTTATTGATCACAATATGCATGGTGGATGTGGGGTATTAATTATCATATCAATGCATGAAGCATGTTGTTGTGAGAAGAAACACATTATGGATTTTTCAGAAAAAGTGATCTACAATTAATAAGATATAATCTTTTGCTAAAATTCAAAAACTAATTCAATACATGATGTAATATAATCTTGAGAGTAAACTACCGTTTTGTCTCTTTACCTTTAACTTTTATCGAGTCTCAAATTGGGGCCTAATTTTTCTTAAAAGCCAATTTGGGTTACAAACTTCTTAAAATGGCCAATGTGAGGCCTTAATGCGATAGATTTTCTAAGTTTCATTTAATTTCCCCTTCTTTTTTTCTTTTTTTTAAAAAAAAAAAGAAGAAGAAGAAAGTTTGTGTTGGCTATGTGAGTCACTAGTTGTTAATTTTCAGAGAGATGGATCACCGGTTTATTTCTACCAACACCGATATTATCCCAAACTTAATCACATACATAGACTAATAGGTGTGAGATTTTGTCATAAAAGGCATCGGTGATATTAATAGTGGAACCACTCATTATTTATTGTATTTATTTTGTTAAGTTTTCGATGTGGGACTTTATTCCCCGTGGAATCACCACATAATAGGTCACACTTGCAACAAATCCCACATCAGAGTCAATCGTTGCACCTAGAGGTATCAAACGGATCGAACTGGCCATAGAACGGCATGAGTACGACCAGTTTAAGTAGGGCACAACTAGAGGTGTCAAACGAGTTGGGCTAGCATTTAAACTTGTGCCTTTAACGTATCATGCCTAGCCGAGCCGGCTTATTTAATTTATTGGGCCGTGCCGTGCTAGCCCATTTAGTAAAACCATTGATCCCAGCCTGATCCAAAGCCCAAGTCCACATTGAAACGGCTCGGGCCATACTCAGGCCCAAGAGTTTTCCAGGCTAAGATATTTTATAATCTGTTTGAATTTTGCTAAATTCAATAAACAAATTTATCAGAAATAGTAACGCCACTAAAACCTAAAATAGACTCTTTGAAATGGCGCACGTGTACGCTTCTAATGTAAAAAGAGGGTTGGCTAAGAGTTTCCAACTACACAAAATCCACTTCAACTTTTCAACTTTGAACAACTTATTATTTTATATGTGAAGAAAAGTCTTGCTTTAATTATAAGAGAAGCATATATGTCATATGTACTGATTAGATATCAACCTTATAATCTAATTTTGACTCTGTCTTTTTCAAGTCCAAAGTTGTTTAATTAATTTATAGTTGATAGTTTATATGTTTAATTAATTAAGAACTCAAGTAATTTCCCCAAAATGAAAGACATCAAAAATATGATTATGATTTTTTTAAAAAAAACATATAAACAATGGCATTAGATGTCAAATTATTGCATTTTGACTTTTGAGACAAAAAAAAAAAAAAGGTTATACTTGTTTTAGAGAAAAATAATACATAATATTATTACATATATATCTTAAATTCAAGTCTATTTCTTTTCTCTAATAATATATATTAAAAATTAATGTTTTCTTTATATATAAAATAATAATTTTGTTTTTCAAGTTTCAATTTTTAAAACACAAAAAAAAAACTAGCAATTTTCTATTTAAATGTACTTTAAATAAAGTTATTGACCTTTTTTTTTGTTAACAAATAATAAAGCTTATTAGTATATATATATATATATAATTGTAAAAAAGATATAAATGAAGTTATAAAAAAAAATTACAAAAAAAATGCAATACGTAAGTCAAATTTGGCATCTGCCCGTTTCGTGGCCTAGCACAAGCATAGCCCGAGCTCATATAGGCTTGGGCATTGAGCTCGAGTCGGGATTGATGATTTTCGTAAATGGACGAACCATGCATGACTCGTTTATTAAATGGACCGACTCTAAACGGGTTAGGCCGGCCCATTTGACACCTCTAATTGCAGCCTAAGACCTGAATACCACGTATCATTACAGCCCAACACATGAACACCACGTATTGGGTAAGAGGTAATGTGAAACATTCAAGCTCAACATGTGAACACCACGTATTGGATAAAGGGTAAGGGTAAAGACCCAGTCAATCAACTCGCTATGATACCACCATATTAAATTTTAGAGAGATGGACCATCAACCCCCTACTAGCAACACCAATATTGTCTCTCAACTTAACCATCTACGTACCCTAATATGTGTGAGGTTTTGTCACAAAAGGCATTAATGATATTAATTAGTAATAGAAGCACACATTATATATTGTACTTAGGGTTATCTGATATGTTGTTTTTCCCATGAGCTATATCATGATTGTCAATTTACCCCTTAGACTTTCTTTTTTGTTAAATCAAGAACTTAAACTATATGAAATAGGTCAATTTCGGACTTGTTGTCAAATTTTGGATGTGCACCCAAATTTCCTTCAATATTAAGGGCAAATTCGTAATTTAAAAAAATAACTTCAATCTATTAAATAACGGTAATTTTTCTCAAAAAAAGATGATTATGAAGGTTGAGAACTTGAGAACATCGGGTTGGGATTTTGTGGCAATGTCGAGTCGGTTGTTGAAGAAAGTTTTGAAGGAACAAGAATATGACCAACTGTAGAATCAGACCATTAAGGGCCTCATTTCTATTTTGGCCATGGCCACTCAAAATGAATACAAGGGTTATATGTCATTTTGTTCATGGGCCAAAACGGCATATAACCCTTGTATTTATTTTCTTAAGTGTTCGAGGATTTGAAATTATGGTATAAAAGTTTGGTAAGGGTTTGGTATACTAAGGTGAAACAATTTTTTAGGTAAAATTTGTCTTTGCAGCGTCCAATGGCTGTGTTGTGCAAAAAGAAGCATTGTTTTTCTCCAGAGCAACTAATGGCTGGCTTTGCTGCCATTTTCACCTTATCCTTTCGATCACACAAGAAAGAGAAGAATCCCTTCCACAGAAGCCTAGCTAGCTACTGTTAATCCCCACTTATAATTTTTTATTAGATATTAAAAAAAACTTTTAATCTAGGTCCTTGTATCACAAACTCACGGTTACTTTTCTAGTCTTAAGTTTTGTTATTGAACTCTCAATTATAAAGGATTATGTTTGAATTTTGTGATACACACTTTTGGTTGAAAGTCAATATAATGTTATATGTTAAGATAAAAACTTCTTATGGTTGGTCTAAGGGGTGAGGGAAAGTGGGGGATATGAGTTGAGAATCGAGTCTAGGACATCGACTGCAAGAGTTAATACTCTTAACTACTTAAGCTATAAGCCTTTTACAAATAACGTTAACGTATAATAATATAAATGGTATGAAAAAATTATTTTCATGAAAGAAAAGACGTTGAAGAACTTTGTGCCACACATAACTGTTTGCTTAATTTGGTTGGTTTAAAAAAGTATATATATGACATCAGAATGGGACTTGAACATGTACGATTCAAATTATGGGATCAGATTAGGATAACCCCACAAGAAGATAAGTGTTTTATTGAATTACATCCATGTGCTTGAACATTCATGCAATTTATACTGGTAAAACACCCTTCACTTGAGGGTTTGTGGATGTATCACTATTGTTTTATTCCTTATCTTCCTTTTTCTTGCTGTTCAAAGGATAAGGCAAATGATTGTTTTCTTTGTCTTTTCCTTTTTCCTCAAATTTTACGGTAGCACCCTAAGATTAAAATGGATGCGTTTCAAAGAATAACACAAAATTCGGCATGTAAGAGTATTCATATAATTATCACACGTCGGTCACTCTTATAGCAGCCACATATAAAAACTCATCTTCATTTGAAAAAGAAAAGAAAAGAAAAAGTCATGAAAAAAACTATATCCTGACCCATGTGCTAAGGGTACATAATTTCGTTTTCATGCCGTGCCATGTAACCCTGTGTCAAAGAAAAAGGTTAAACAAATTCAATTTATTTACAAGCCGTGTACACCATTTGTTTGTGTTTTCGTTGTCACATCCATATCACTAGAAAGCAACCAGAAAAAAGAAAAAAGAAAAATCAAACTCTACAGAAAAACCTAACAATCCTTTCTTAATTAGGTTAATCTATGACTAGCCTTTTTACTTTGTGTAGAGGCCTAGCTTCAGATTCTTTCTTTACCAAAGAAAAAAATAAAAACACGTCAGGTTCACATCCATAAGGCTTTGGATCCACGTCATCCACCCAGATGCATTAATGCAATGATTTTTTTGTGGTCTTAAAAACAAATATAAAAAAAAGAAAAGAAAAAAAAGTGCGAAAAAGGGCAAAATGTGATGTATGCCAGACAAAGGTGGTGGCCTGTGGGGACTGCACCCCTTATTTTGAAAAGGAAAGTTAATGATACAGGCTTGTTGCGTTTTCGACTTCTGATTGGTCCAATGGGTACGTAGTTGTACGGACGATGTTGACGTGTTGCTAACATTGTACTATCCTTGCCATTTTTAACTCCACACCCCTTTTTTTCTTTTCTTTTTCGTTCTTTGCTTTTGATTTTTCTATCAGCCAATTATGTCATTTTAATTATTGCAACAAATTTTCCTTCAATAAAATCAAAAGTATTTTGCTCAAGCCTAAACTGTCAATAGTGGTTTGGTTTGATTTCTCCGTAGTTTTAGTTCACATTATAGTAAAATCGCACTGTTAACGATTTATTAATTTGATCACGATTAAGAAGTGAAACTTATCCAAATCATAACGCACCTCCTTAGTTCATAAACCTATCACGCATGTTGGATCATTCATGAATATTCTTCTTATTAATCCGTAAAATATTTCGCATGAACCCACCAGCTTTAATAAAATTTCATCGCTTGATTGATTCCCTTGCCACAAAACAATGGTGAGACAAATCAGAAAAGCATTCAATTTTTATGATCGAATTTAACACCTCGTGCACGGCAAGCTGTGGATTGAATTTGGTTACGTCCACCACAAAAAGAAGGCTAATAATAACGAAACGAAAAAAGACAAAAGTAAATGAAAACGAACTGAAAATGCAACAAATATAATCATAGCCTGCTTAATATTCAATGCTAAGATTATGTCAAATTTGAATAGAGAGACAGAGACAGAGAGACAGAGGCAGAGACATAGACAGGGAGAGAGAGAGAGAGAGGACTTGGTCCAATGTCTGAGGGACTTTCATCAAGCAAGGGGGAGGAAGTTGCTTCCTTTCTCATAGATAGTTGAGTGTTTTTTGCCTTTTGTGTCCAGAATTTCTTTTTCTGGTCAGTTTTGTGGGTTTTACCAAAACAAGCAAAGGATATGGGGCTTTTTTGTTGCCAACCGCTGATTTATATATTATTATAGTATATTTTTATGTTTCTTTTTCAAGGTGGGGTTCTGGGGTAGGAAAATAAAGACATTAATGAAGATATATATGGAAAAAAAGGAAAGGTAGGTACAGCTTGTGCTTAGCTTGGTGGTGTGTGAGCCCAAGTAAAGGTCAATCAATCTCAAAATCTTCCTTCCTACTCTCTCTATAATTTCTGGGTCTTTGTGGTTTCCCTCTCTCAATCCTCCTCATCTCTCTCTCTCTCTCTCTTTCCTTCTTTGGCATCTTCTTCCTCCCTTATTTGTCCATAGCTTCTTTCTGGGTTTCCTTTTGCATATTTGGAAAATTGGCTCAGCTTCTCTTGAACTCTGTTTTTCCTTTTTTAGCTTGTTGAGGAGATTTGAGCTGAAGAAGTTTTCTGTTTTGCTTTGTCTTTTGGTTCTCGGAGTTGAATCAATCAATCACAAAAACCCACCTATTATATGTAATATATATATATATATATATTTGTATTTTTCAGGGTCTAGTCCAAGTCTTTGCTCACAAACCTGAGAAGGTCTCTTTTAGTTTCTTTTCTTTCCATTTTGGGCTTCTTCTTCCTTCTTTTGTTTGTAACCAAGAGGCTATTTGGGGCCAATTTCTTAACACTCAATTCTTCCCCTTTGCCTCTCTCTCTCTCTCTCTCTCTCTCTCTCTCTCTCTCCTTCATATCTTCATTTTGATTAAAGAACTTAAAGAACTCATATTTCCTTTACACAAATTCTATATATTGATTGCTTATTTGAATTGAAGAAGAGGATCCAATATATTTAACCTCATCTTTATCATCTTTCCAAGTCCTACCCACAAGTCACAAACCTCTCTCTTCCACAAAACAAACCCAAAAAAAGCTTCTTGGGTTAATTTTACCTATTGGGTAAGATTCAATTAACTTCTTCACCTTCTTCTCAACTCTCATCACTTTTTGACACATTGGGTTCTGAATAGATTTGTGCAGTGAAAGCTGAGAGCGCTTCCTTCTGTTAAAAATGGTGAGAGGAAAAACCCAGATGAGGCGCATAGAGAACGCCACCAGCCGGCAAGTCACCTTCTCAAAGAGGAGAAGTGGTCTTCTAAAGAAGGCCTTTGAGCTTTCAGTTCTTTGTGATGCTGAGGTTGCGCTCATAATATTCTCTCCAAGGGGAAAGCTCTATGAATTTGCAAGTTCGAGGTATTTATTTATAAGCTTCCCCACATATATATATATATATATATTTATTTATATTAATGTTCTTTTTTATGAATGAGAATTAATAGATCCAGTATTAGTATATATAATCACTGTCAAGCATAAATAAATAATGGTCTGTACGATCGAGGTTTGTAGGTTTATATATAAAGTCCTTTTTTCCTTTTCCCTCTAAGTTGCATATTTGTTTTTCGTTAGCACTTGCATTTCTATTTATAGTAACCTTTGAACAAGTGGCACAGTAATCTAGTTTCCTTCCACTGAGTTTGGCTTGCTATTGTTAATTACTAATGAGTTTCTCCATCCTCAGAAACTGAAGGAAGACTAATGTACGAACAGATTTACATCAAACAAACCTGGCTTAATCACAATTAATGCTTTGATTAAGTTTTTTTATTGTTTGTAATTTTAATTAACAAGAGAGGACAAAGATGTGGGAAGAGCGAGAGAATAGACATTATTACCACATCAGTTTTTTCGTCCAAACCTTGAGATATGATCATTTTCATTCTAGATGACCATTAATTTTTCCTAAAATTACAATCGATCCCAGTGCACAGTAATTATTATTATTATTATTATTTTTTTTTTTCAGTTGGGAGATAATATTATTTAGTTTAGCACATCAGGAAAATATATTGAGAGACAAATGCATCATCATCATCATCTTCATTTTTTTCTCAAAATTATTTGATAAATGGCGATGAGTGCATGCAAAATTTTATAATTAAAAAAAAAAAAACTACAAAAAATAAAATAAAATAGGATTTGTATTTTCTAAAACAGCTTTGAAAAAACATCAATTTCAGTCCACATACATGTATGTTTTCCATAAAATTCGTATTATTAGACTGTATTTGTTGAGATCTATCAACTAAGACTCAAAATGAATACACATGAAAATATGTACGAAAAAAAGTTGAAACAATTTACTTTTATAATGCACTGTATATAGCCTCAGAAGGGATGATTAACAGCAGTCACTTCATGATATACACGTGTACTTGTATACAGTATCCTGATTGATGACATGTTTCACATTTGAAAGATCATTATCCTTCTTTTCATGCATACGTTTATGTTCATCATGTAGTACATGAACTTGTCCCTATTATAGTTTTCATTTAGTTTAGGATCCCCTTAAGGTAGTGTTTTGTAGTATTTCCAGAGCTTTTTAATAGTTAACTTCGGAAATTTATGCAACAGCTTGGATGTTATTTGTACAGAAACTAGGGTTTCTATGTTTGTCTATAACTAAACCTTCTATATATGTTGCCAACACGGTCTAGCCTAGTGGAAAAAGGCGTTAACTTACATACGTGGTATTAAGTTCAAACTCTGATGACAACTTAGTAGTGTGTGTGTGAGATACCCCCTTCCCTTCTAATGTAGACTATTATGCATGTGTAGAACATTCTGATAACCTTTTTCTATGATGGATTCCATAGGCATTAGGGATTTAATTAAGGGTTTTTTTTATCACTTTCTTTTGTGAACCAAATGCAAAGTTCAGTAAACTCTTGACTGTAGTATATGCATATCTTGTCAATCTATTCTATAGCCAGCTACTATACTGTTACTCTGCCTAGCTACTTTAAACCACTTCCATGGTAGGGCTGTTATAGCAGTAGCAGTTTTGGGAGCACAGTTTGCATAAAGTAACTTGTTTTTTAGTTGGAAAGCTTAAAATAATTTGGACACGATTGTGTGAAAGGTAGAGAGAGACAGAGATAAAGACAACAATGTACTTTACACATTTATGTCATAGCTGTGCCCGTGACAGATTTTGTAATCGCCATATAGGACATAAGCTCCTAGAGTCACTCATTATTTCTTGTACTATCTACATATTTTGCCAAAGTAGAGTTATTTGCCATGCCATGAAATGATGTGTCATGCATGTCCAGATTCTTATCTTTCTCTTGTAATGTATTTTCCAAGTCTGAACAAAATAAGGTAAACATTAGTAGGTAGAGGGTTTGGATTTAAACTCTAATTTAAGTCACATAAAATCATGAGTGTAGATGCATAAACCCAAATAATCACCAGTAGATATCAACACACAAATCATCCTTAGGTTTCTGTATCCTGGAAATGTATGAAGTGATTGCATTTGGGTCAGAATTTCCTTGTTTGATGACAACGAATACAATCTTTTCTACCCAAGCCAAACAAATAATTCACTAAAACACAAAGTTTACTATATGGACCAAGCCAGATTAAGAATTTGTGAAACAATATCCAGCAATTTTCACCTTGAATCAAATTCTGTCAACCCAATTATATTGCTGAAGTTGTCATAGATTGGTATTTTGTGGTGTGCCATCCTTGTTTCTTCTTCCTCTAGATTGGTACTTTTCAGAAATTATTAGGGTTGGGTGTGTCATCCTTGCTTCTTCTTCCTTTTCCTTTTTTTTTCCTTTCAAATCAATATTTTGTGGAAATCAAGCATTTTTGTTATGTTGAAAGTTGTAGTTGTCTAGAAAAACGGATTCAAGATATAATGATGTATCGGCAGATATTTTCATCCTTGCCTATGAACGCGGGCATATTTTGAATCACGTTAAATTCTTCGTGTTCATTTTATTTTATCTTCCAATTCATTCTTGGTTGCTTGAGTTTGATTGATATTCTCATTCATAACTAATCTATCCTAACATAAAATTCGAACCACCTAATGTAATTCTCTATGTTCTTTGTGATTGCCTTATTTGTTTTTACACATTTATATTAATTCTCTCGTTCTTTTACTTGTCATAATAAACCCCAAGTCAAGTTTCCCGTGCAGTGTTCTACTACTACTATCAAAACCACGAGCAGTGTATGCTAATGTTTTAGCAATAGAGGAAACGATGAACCACCATATATTTTCCTACGCCTTTTTGGCTTGCCATGTTATCTCTAATTCTATGAAGCACATCTTTTCAGATAACATATACAGGATTTGTTCATTTGAATACATTGGTTTTAATACTCAGCATGCAGACAACCATAGAACGTTATCAGAAGCATACAAAAGACAACCTTACCAACAACAAATCCGTTTCCACTGACCAAAATATGCAGGTGACTTCTTGGAAACCATTACCTTTCTTCCAAAATTTGACTGGAGTGAACTGGCCGCACTTTTTGGACCCTGAACTCTAAACAAATCATATGAAAGTGCATTAGATTTTTTTTCTCTTGGTTTTCTGATGAGTTTACATTTGAATTGTTGTGCAGCACCTGAAGCAAGAATCATCTAGCATGATGAAGCAGATAGAGCTTCTTGAAGTATCAAAACGGTTCATCTGAAACTTTTCTTGTATCTTATAACACGCCGTAGTTGAAATAGTCAGTTTTTTTTTTTACTCTTGTTTTACAAAGCGCCTCTTTCTGAACCTGGAATTGCAATTGCTTCAGGAAGCTCTTGGGAGAGGGTCTAGGATCATGCAGTATTGAAGAGCTACAAGAAATTGAGCAACAGTTGGAGAGGAGCGTGAGCAATGTTCGAGCAAGAAAGGTTGATCTTAAACCAAACGTTGTGCTGCATTTTTCAATAGAATCTGATAGTAACAGTCTCATTTTTACTAAATGGATATTTAACCTACTTTTTGTTTTTTCGCCTAATACTCCAGACTCAAGTTTTCAAGGAACAGATTGAGCAACTGAGAGAAAAGGTAAACTGCCGCAATAAAAAGTTTTAAAAAAATTCTGGGCTGTTTGTTGTTCTATATTCTCAAAGTTTGTGCTTGTGCTACTAGCTAACTAAATGTGAACCTTTTATTTTTTCGGTTGATGAAATTCAGGGGAAAGCCCTAGCAGCTGAAAATGAAAAACTAATTGAGAAGGTAAGTGCCTCCTTTCAATTTCTTAATTTTATATATAAATAAACTTTTTCTGTTTTCATTTTCATCCTATGATGTCATGAATTTGCTTCCAAGAAACCGAAAAACTCAATATATGTTAAAACAATTTTTTATTCTTCTTTGTAGTGTGGTAGAATCCAACCAAGGCAAGCATCAAATGAGCAAAGAGAAAACTTAGCCTACACTGAAAGTAGTCCAAGTTCAGATGTTGAGACTGAATTGTTCATTGGACTGCCAGAAAGAAGAAAGCGCTAGCTTCTCCTCAGAGTGCTTAATATTCTAATGCCATGGCTGAGCAGGAATATAAAATTCTATAGTTTTTAGATTGTTTTGTTTTCTGCATTAGATTGTTGCTCCGCTAAATTGCTGCATTGGAGCTTTGCAAGCAATAAGACTGTATTGTAGTAGGGATCATATTAATTGTCTTCTTGAAATGATTGTGATGCATATATATATGACCACGAAATACTATTGGACTATCTCATCTTGATGTATCTTATTTTTTAAAAGAAAAATTCTCCAGTGTTATTTCCTGAGCCCTTATGCTTGCATGAAATGCAGAGCATCTATCGTCAGTTAGCTGGCAGTAGTTCTTAAATATCATGTTCTTCAGAGTCTAATAGTTATGTGTAGCATATTCTTAGTTTAAAAGTACACCCACTCTGCCTCTTTATTTTTTGGTTTTTGTTTATATACAACCGATATTCGGGTTGGAGAATCTCACATATGATCTCGGTTGCAATGATAAATGCTTTGAAACTATTTGAGGTATTTCCTTGCTTCCTCTCCCTCTCTTTGTTTGAAGCACATGATAGAAATGATTTTAAATGATTAAAAAAGATGGAAAGAATTTATATAAGAGAACAGATTGCAGCTTGCCACATCCATGTAAAAGATATTGGGGGAGATTCAAGCCAATTAGTACTAGCAGAGGCATGTAAAGCCAAAAACTCATGAGTCACCCATGGCATGAGATAGGGTGGGGGCGCGAAGGGTATACCCTAGACTCGATTCACCCCAAAAAAAAAAACTCATGGGCCACCCTATTACCTGCCCAAACTGCCCTCCTAATAATGTTCATAAAAAATGACACACCCCAACTATTTGATATCATGAATGATAGCTTCAACATTATGTGCAGCACCACCAGAAGCTTAGCATCAGAGTCCACCTCCAAGCACAATCATCCCTCAAACCTGGTTTCCTTAGCATGGAAACCAATTTATTTTAAAAGAATAAATCTTTTTTTTTCCTGCTTTTTTCATTTTTTGTTTTCCCCCTTTTTTCTGTAAGAATATAAGTTTATGATCTAATGGTTGTCCTATATGATCCTCTCAAGCAGTGGTTTGGTGAAGAAATTGGTCGACAGCTTCTTTTGTGGGCATTGCTGGTATAGCTCCTTTCTTTTGCACCGTGAGAGCCCCACATGCATTGGCAAACAAGAGAGCTTCTCTCAACCTTTTTTCATCCTGAATAAGAAAAATCAAGATTTCAATACCATACTGACATTCTAACAAGTCGTATCGTTGGTTTGATACAAAAGCCAGTGGCATATGACTCAAGATTCAAGTCATACAAGGTGACAAATTACATACCTTGTACAGATTTAGGTCTGAACCCCAGCTGTTGAGTATGGCACCGACAAACGAATCACCGGCACCAGTAGTGTCAACAGCATCAGCTTTGATGCCTTCAACCTTACCCTTAAATTCCTAAACCACAGTAAAAAAGGGATCAGTAAAAACAAATTGACAAAGAATGAGAAAAGATGCCAAAACGCCTAATGTTTTGATTTGACAGTGAATAGAAGGTTTAAGATCAATGTTAGCATCAAAACGTGTATGTTTACCTTTGTATAGTATCTGCAGCCTGCTGCCCCTTCAGTTACTATCAGAAGCTTCAGATTGGGGTGATAAAGTTTTTTCATGACCATATCATCATCATAAGGATCATCACCTCCAGTCAAGAACTCAATTTCTTCCTCACTTATCTGCAATTTTGCAAATATTATTCCCCATATCTTAGTTATATTATTTGTTGATCATAATGTGATAGGGTGGTTTTTGGAAAATGCACCTTAATAATGTCAGCTTGGTTCCATATGCTCATAATGCCTTGCTGAGCAGCCTCTGCAGATGGCCACAGTGGCAATCTCAAGTTTGGATCATAAGAGAGGATACAACCAGCCTTTTTGGCAATGTCCATTGCAGCAAGATGAGCTGATCTGCATGGTTCCTCGATCAAACTAATCGATCCATAGTGAAAAATACCAGCCTGCATCAGTCAATATTGTCAGGAACTGAAGAAGAAAATGACTATAAGCTATAAACTTTCATCAAAGAGAATATTGAAGTTACCTTTTTTATTAGATTCGCGTCAAGTTCTTTCTCATGAAGAAGCTTATCAGCACTTGGGTTGCGGTAGAACATGAATTCGCGTTCCCCGTCATTTCTGAGTGTAACAAATGCCAATGCAGTCCTTGCATTTGGGTCAAAACGCATGCCGGAATTGTCCACATTGTTTTCTTTCAGAATATCAGCCAACATGTATCCAAATTCATCTTTACCAACCTAAGATGCAGAACGTAGAGACTTTACAGTTATAAACAGACTCACATGATAGATGAGAATCAGAGAAGAATATGATGTAAACCAAAATGTTCATAAAACTAGCGATAAACAAAACAATGAAGCTGAAAATTAATATTGATCTTGCATGCTTAGAAAAAACACCTTGCCCATAAATGCTGCTGAGCCTCCTAATCTTGATATTCCAACTGCAACATTAGCAGGAGCTCCACCAGCAGCTTTTTTGAAACCTTCTGCATCTGCAAGAGAAACTCCAGCAGTAATTGGGACGAAATCGATCAACATCTCCCCAAAGCAAACAATCAGTGCTTGTTTCTCTTGGGTGCTCCTTTTCTTAAAAGAAAATGATTTAAATGAACCTGCATGGGACCATTTGCTTAAGAGTTAAAGATCAATATTGATAGAAGTACCAAATTAGTGACAGCAAGTTACTAATACTAATCTGAAACTGCAAAATATGGTAATGCATGAATGCAACTTGTTCAGATCGGGAAGCTCATCAGCACAAAAATTCTCCTGAGAGAGTTAAAATACTTATCAGCGTCCGATCATTGACCTCAAAAATCCAATTGGGTACAAATGAAACTTAAAAAAAAAACCCAGGAAGAAGAAAAAAAGATGATGAGAATAAAGCTGTTTCAAACTCAAGAATTCCCAGTAATATAACACATAATTTAAAGGTGCAATGAATTATTAATACCAGCAACAGAGGAGGAACTCCTAACAAACTTGAAGCTACCCTTTTTGGATCGCTCAAGTGTCACTGGGAAGCAGCTGCAACCTGTTGGGGCCATTATAATGAATCAACTCTACAGAAACTGATCAAGTTATTGTTTTTTATTTTTGTTTTTTTTGGTAAAAATTGTTTTTGAATTTGATTGTGATCCAACGTTGAATTGCGAGTTGAAAAACGCCAATCAACGTTGGTTTTTGACAAAATCAAAACCCAAATCAACCCTGTTTCACAATCAGATTAAAACAAAGAGTTTATATATTGCACATTGGTTTTGTGTTCCACCACCACCACCACCATGGCCTGCTCTGCTATTATTAGAATGCTTCCATATCTCCAACAACTTTCTCTATTTTTGAGCTAATTTTAGCCGAAATAACTAGAAACTCATTTCTAGTTAATAATTTTGCCAAGTGACTGCTTCAACCATGGTCCCTATTTTAGATATTCGTGAGTTTTTTTTTTTTTGGTTGTATTTTGAAATCAAAATATGGGTTGGCTGCAGCAGAATCTCAACTTAATTTATCTTTCATTTTGTGTTCTTTGCTGTTCGTTTTGTTAAATAGAATAGGAGTTTATGTTTTGACCCAGTCTTGCCAAGGGAAACCTGCTGTCAGCTAAATTCTTTGTAAGAAGATTATCAAATTGAACCTGCATTGATCTTGGCCAGTGTAGGCCTTATTCTTTAACATAAATTTTTTTCGGGTAAATTACTCAAATGGTCCTCAAATTTATACATGATTTACATTTGGTCCCTCAACTAAATTATTCGTTCAAATGATCCATCAACTCTATATTATTCGCTCCAGTGATCCTACCGTCTAATTTTCTGTTAGATTTAACCTAATTTTAGGATAAATGATGACCAATTTGCCTTCATATTTAACGAAAATATTGATAAAATGTAACGGTAGGACCAATGGAGCGAATAATATAGAGTTGATGGATCGTTTGAACGAATAATTTAATTGAGGGATCAAAATGTAAATTGAGTATAAATTTGAGGACCATTTGAGTAATTTACCCTTTTCTTTTTCAGTTTCTTAATCTCCCATATAGAAATTTTCCTGGGTTCATTAGAATTGGAGTATATAAATATTATATTATATTAATTTGGTGTATGGAAAGTTAAAATTGGAGTGCAAATCATATCCCTTTAAAAAGTAGTTAGAATTGTGATGGGGCTTGGACGTCACAAACTTTGCGTGGTGGGGGTGATACGTGATGCATTTGGGGTGTTTAAAGGGGCTGGGGGTGAAGGAGGTGTTCGATGCGGCGCTGCAATAGTTGCTGAAGCTGAGGCATTATGGGCAGGTCTGTGTGCGGGAGTGGACCAGGGCTGGTAGCGGGTGGTGCTGGAGTCTGACTCCAAGCTCATGATTGATATGCTGAAAGGGGTTGGTTGTTCTGACTCCCGGGTTGAAGGCATTGTGCATGATATTAGATTCCTGATGCGGCAGATGCAGACGGTGATGTTGTCTTTTGTTCCTAGAATAAATAATAAGGTGGCACATTTAGTTGCTGCCTTTGTGTCCAAAACCCAAGGTCTGAGTAAGTGGGAGGGATCTCCTCCTTTATGGTTAATTAATTCGTTGGCAATTGATGTATCCTCTTTTACTGTTGAATGAAATGGAATTATCGTTCTGGAAAAAAATAATATATATATATATATATATATAATTTCTCAAAAATATAACTGCAACCAAGAATGTCTCCTTATAACAAAAACTTATATATTATGGGATATCAAAATAGAGTTATTTCGGATCACATGCAAGTTCTTCTCGTACTACAACAAATTAAGTGTAGACAAAAAAAGATAAGGGGACGCATGCTCTGCTCTAATACATTAAGTAATTGAAAAACATAGTACTCATGAAAATTTGTTGTTTCATGAGTAATAGAAAGATCCACATTTCCCTATATAAAAAAAAATCAACATTTACTCAAAAACCACCTTTATAATTGTTTTATTTTATTTCCTTTTTTTTTTGGGGTCCAAAAAAATATATTTTATTTTATTTCCTTAGAACTTCAGGAGAGGAAAAAAAAAAAGAAAAAAAAAAGGATTTTCTGAAATGTATTGGATTTTATTTATCGAACTTCAAAGCCCACTCGATCAAAAAAATAAAAAATAAACTTAAAAGCGCACCTAAGGTCGAAGGCCCTATTGACTGGTCCTTCTCCTTAACAAGAATTCTACTGGGCTTACAGAGTAACAGAGGTCCAAAATTTAAGGGACAAACTGAAATATCAACAATTGGATGAGCAAGGGCTCAAAAAATACAATCGAATTAACCTTCCGTTTGAATAGAAGAAAAATAACTCGGAATTTAGTTAAAAGAATGTAAAATGGGTCTAATTTCCACAAAATGAGGGCTGAAATTATAAAAAAATCAAACACCTAAAACACTTTATAAACACACCCAAAATCCATCATTACACACACTCAAACCTCATTTATAAACACACCCAAAAAATATATAATTGTTGATTTTGGGTGTGTTTCTATGTTTAAATAGTGTTTGGGTTTTTTTATAAATACATGTCTAGGATTGGGTTTATTTATAAATTTGTATTACAGTTTTAATATAACAGTGGACAAAAGAAGCAATTCAATAAACAAATTGATGAAAAATAAAACGAAATATATAGCAATCTGAAAGCGAGTAAATATATATATGTGGAGAGCATTACAATTCCAAAAACAAAACAATATACGTAGGGCAACCGTAGGGTCATATATTCTTGCAAGTACATCAGAAGATACATATGAAGTTGCAGATCCCAGTACAATGAAGCCATGCATATGGACAATCATAAATATATATATATATATATAAATTATCCTTTATTTTTCATATTCATTAGGCTTTCAAAGAACCCATCCCTGGATGAAGTTGGTCTCACAAGCCATGCTCTTCGACATTGAAGGCCCCTCAACAGGAAGATATTGATGGTACCTGTTTCAACAACAACAACAACTATCATTTCAGTTATAATTGTTGACTCACTTTTTTCTGAAGTTTTTTTCTGGAAAAAAGGGGAAGAGAATTAAACTAAATTAGAGTTTACCCTATTTGCAAGACAGGTTCATGAGGTTGGCAGTCCATGGGGTTGGTTTGGGAAGAATGGAAAGAAAAGCTGCTACTTCCAGCTGCTGCATTCGAGCTCCACATGTTTTGGATGGCTTTAAGATTTTGTCCTTCTGTCTCCAGCTGAAATAATAATCAAAGCAAGAAGAAAAATACTAAATATATACGTTTCAACTGGTTTTAACAAGAAAAATATCAGTCGATATATATTACCTTGACCCTCAGCTGCTTGTTAAGATCTCCAAGGTGACGCTCCTGCCATGTTCAATTAGAAACCATGATCACCACAGAGGACGTCGGATTAGATGCTAATCATGACAATTTCAAACACGAAACTTTACCCGAAAAAGAAAGAAAAGGATAATAAATTCGGGTTTGAAATATCTTACTGTTCCAGCCTAGCTAGTAGAATTTTTATGTGTTCATCATGAGATTGGTCTGTTTATTTTTAGAAGTAAGAATTCTTGCACAAGACAGTTGACTTTGTATAAATTATATAAAATTATACCTTTTTGCGCAGGTCCTCCATTTGCTCAATCATAAGCTGTGTCTACAACCAAGGACAGCCCGAATGTATAAAATATCTCAAAGTCGAATTATATTTTATTAATTCATAACTAGTTAGTTTAAACTTTAACATTGTCACACTTAATTACCTTCCTTTGCCTGGCCTGTGCAAGAGCTCCTTCAAGTTGTTTTTCAAGATTTTGCAACTCCTTCACATTCAGAGGTCCGAGATCTTCCCCAAGCAATTGCCTTGATTAAAAAAAACATAGCACCAAAAAAAAAAAAAAAAAACCAAGGTTAGCATAGATATTAAACAGTGATGCTAGCTATCAGTTTTTACTTAATTATGGATATAAGTATAATTATTGATTTCTAATCAGTTGCAGCATAACCTTTGAGTGCGCAGAAGGGATTCATATTTAGCCTTGAGTTTTGTGACTTCCTGATACCAGCTCTGCTGATCAACAGTCAAAAACAAGAATTAAGAACGCTTTATGAAGAATCATTAAGAAAAACATATATACATCAAATTAATTAATTACGTGAAATCGATGGTTCGAAAGGAAAATTTGACAGGGAGTCAAAATACCTGTGCTTCACGTTCAGTGCTGTTTTCCTCAGGATTGAAGCAGGAA